CCAGAACGAATTTACCGGTATTTTCAAAAAGGACCTGTTCACACATACAACCTTTCCGGAAAATTGCCGGCAATTTTCCGGAAAGGTCTGTATGTGTGAAAGGGGCTATTGTCTGACCTACACCAATAGCTGGTGTGAGTGCACTGGCGCTGTTGTCCTGTGGCTGCAGTCACATCATCCAAGTGGATGCTGCACACCGGTGCTCATAGAGACCCCTCACCCTCATGATTGTAAAGCGTTTTGGGTGTATGGTCATAAACGATAAATGCGCTGTATAAATACACATTACATATAGTCTTTGAGTATACTAAAAGCATGTGCCAGCCCTGCAGCTTTGAATGTGGATGTTCACAACAGTTTTATTTAAAACGTTAGACCTGCACTTTTGTTTTGACCTTTTTTTTTTTTTTGTAATTTATTTATTTATTTTTAATTCTCAAATGATTTCAAGATTGTTTGAATCTATGACAAGCCGTTATGAAAATTCACATAACAGAATTCTAGGTTAATCTTCAAGGCCTCAAACCATTGAATATCCATTGCTATTCTCTGGGTCAATACTTATATATATATATATATATATATATATATATATATATATATATATATATATTTTTTTTTTTTTTTTTTTTTTAACTTTTTTTTTTATCTTTCACAAACTAACAAAGCACATTTCATGACACGCATCAGTGATTGATCCATGGCAATATTTTTGTCATGATATTGCTCTGGCATGTTTTCATTTAAGAACATGGATGTGATTTTAAAAATATTACAACATTCGAGAAACTACCTAATGTTTTGGTACATTTTTAAAATAACGACTTGCTGGATTTGACCTTTCTCCCGCTTTATATTTTAGATTTTCTACCATAGTAAATGACTATTATTAGCCTTAGCTGATTAAAGATGGAGCACATCTGGTGATGCGTTTGGGGAGTCCAGCTGGGCCTTCACACATGAACAAATGGCCTTTGCTCTTATATTTGACTTGTCACAGATCAGCCTTAACCTGTTTAAAGCACATATTGTAAATGTGTTGTATGGTTCTTTCGAAGGGTAACAACCGATGCCTGATGTTTTCAACCCATGCAGCTTTTATTTATTTTAGGAATTATCTGTTTTCCAAGTAAACTCTGTTTAAATGAATTCATGACATACAATTTATTAAACATTTAGTTGTTCTCGTTCCACAAATTCCCATCTGATTTTGATGTATAACTTACCTGCATTTTGTAATTTGTGCTACCGTTTATGAAAAACTGAATGTACTTGTATGGGTAATACTTTTAAATGTGTGTCTTCCGTGTGCAAAATATTGTTTGTGTTCATGTTTTTATCAATGTTGTGTCCATTATAATGTGCTCTAAATAAAAATACAAACATATTCTCTTGTTATCAGTGGTGAACAATTACAAAGATGCTTTACTTGCAGTGAGTGTGTGTGTATAAATTCACACAGTGGTGTGAAAAAGTGATTGCCCGCTTACTGATTCACTCCTTCGTTTTTCTTTGGCTGTAGGTCTCTATTTTATCTGAGATCATCACAGCGGAATGAACCGCCAACTACTCTGACATATATTTTACGCAGCGGATGCCATCCCAGCTGCAACATAGTACTGGGAAACACCCATACATACTCATACATTCACACACCATAGCCAATTTAGCTTATTCAATGTAACTACACTGCATGCCTTTGGAAACTGGAGCACCTGGAGGAAACCCACTTGAAAATGGGGAAAACATGCCAATTCCACACAGAAATGCCAATTGAAATCCCACCCAGGACTCGAACCAGTGACCCTCTCGCTGTAAGGCAGTGGTTGGTGTTCTGCAGATTTTAGAGACACACCTGAACAAGCTAATCAAGGTATTACTTGGTATACTTGACACATCCAGGCAGGTGTGTTTAGGCAAGTTGGAGCTAATCCTGCAGGGACACCGACCCTCCAAGACCGAGATTGGTGACCCCTGCTGTAAGGCAACAGTGCTAACCACTGAGCCAATGTGCTGCCCACCCTTACTGATTTCTTTTCAGAAAGGGAGGGGGGATCATTTAGTACGATTTGCTTATCCCCCAATGACGGTTAGGGTTAGGGGTGGGGTTAGGTGCCACGCCTCCTTTTTAAAATCGTACAATTTCGTACGACTCAACTCGTACGAATTTGTACGAATTAGCCACTAAACTGGCAAAACGAAAAATACTTAACGTTTTCTCGTGAGATCAGGGTGGATGCAACAAAACACCGGTGAAGAAATTCGATACAGAGTAACATGACCTACTGTCATCTAGCGTTTCTGAAATGTTATTGCAGACAACACAAACCGCACGTAGAAGTATAAATGCATGACTACGCGCAAGGCATGAGTCGTGGGTCACGGCCTCCGCTTGATCCAGAGGTATAAACCAGCCTTAAGTGTTCAATTTGTTTTTCTTCAGCCAGTGAGAGGTGGACTTGCTGGTGTGCTTTAAGTCATTGTCCTGCTGCAGAAACCGAGTTTGTTTCAGCTCAAGGTCATAATCAGATGGCTGCAGAACTTTTTAAAATATGAACTGGTCCAAAATATTGTCTGAAAAATACTTGTATTATTTCTAGTGCTAATGAATAATATTTCCGGCAATGCAGTGGCGCAGTAGGTAGTGCTGTCGCCTCACAGCAAGAAGGTTGCTGGTTCGATCTTCGGCTCAGTTGGCGTTTCTGTGTGGAGTTTGCATGTTCTCCCTGCATTTGCGTGGGTTTCCTCCGGTTTCCCCCACAGTCCAAAGACATGCGATACAGGTGAATTGGGTAGGCTAAATTGTCCGTAGTGTACGAGTGTGTGTGGATGTTTCCCAGAGATGGGTTGCGGCTGGAAGGGCATCCGCTGCGAAAAAAATATGCTGGATAAGTTAGTGGTTCATTCCGCTGTGGTGACCCTGGATTAATAAAGGGACTAAGCCGACAAGAAAATGAATGAATAATATTCCCATGCATTTATTTATTTATTTATTTTTTGTCTTTCTGATTTTGTCTTATAAACTGTATTTTTTATTTATTTATTTTTTTACTTTTTGTTGTTGTTTTCAGGCCCATAGCCAGCCTGTTGAATAGGGGTGGTTCTTTTTTCCTCAAAAAGTGGACCTTTTTGTAGTTATTCGCCTTGTTTTCTATTAAATTACGAGGATCAAATACTGCGTTTTAGTGACATTTTAAACATTAATTTTTGCCAGATTAGCTTGTCGTATGGTGATTATAATAACCACACTTTTTGATGCAACAAAAGTATTCTCTACATTTTTGTCAAAGTGCTAACTACACTATTTTACCACAAAGTGTTAGTTTACAAATCTGCATGTAAACTGTAGGTTATTACAGTTTTATAAATAATGTTATAAGCTTAGAATTTTTCATGTTTTTCAGAACATGCAAACTCCACACAGAAATGCCAACTGACCCAACCGAGGCTCGAACCAGCAACCTTTTTGCTGTGAGGCGACAGCACTACCTATTGCGCCACCACGTCGCCTGAAATTGTTTTTAAAAAACAAATATATTATCATCCATCCTTTAAAAAGAAAAGTTATTAGGAATCTTTTAAAACTTGTTTTAAATGGGAAAACTGTGGCCAGCTCATTTGCTCAGTCTGAACTTAATTCAGTCCATAATTAAAAATTACATTTGTCTTAAAGCTTTCTTCTATCGGGTATTTTCACAATCATGGCATACTGTTAGAAATGGGATAAATGGGCTTGTACAGCAGCTAAATTCTTGACTTTGTCAGTATGGGTCTTTCGAACCACCCTAACCCCCCTGGCTACAGGTCTGTTTTTTTTTATTTTTTTTTTACCGTTTTTATTATTATTATTACTATTATTGTTGTTGATGTGGTTGTTATTGGTTAATGTTTTTCACTCCAGACTTTCCCATGGGCCCTTTATAATTGCACTTTCTTTTGTCACCTGTCTTTATTACCTGGAAAATATTTCCAGATGGATAGTGTCTATCCATCATTTTTTTCATCTTTATAGTAGTAATATGTGCATGCATTTATTTGAATAAAATGATATTGCCATTTGTATTATTGGCTTTTAAAATTTCAGTATCACAATTAAATAAGAATTTAGTTTTTTTTTTAAATCTTATGTTTGTAAGTTTTACTTTTTTATTTCTGTTGATTATTATACATTTTTTTTTAAATCTTTTTTTGTTTGTTTCCTTAACGCTTGTTTCTCATAAAATAAAAGAACGTACATATATTATGAAAACACAGTAAACAGTAGTAGTAGTCAAAAAAGAGAGATATATTATGCATATAATAATTAAATTAAATTCTAAATAATACATCATAATATCCAATATATTATATAATTCATATCATGTTATTTATTTATAACAAGAAAAATAATAATAGATCAGAATAAACTGTACTGTACTGTACTTTTAACAATCAACATTTTAGGATAAAAATGTAAAAAAATAATAATCAGTATATTTACAGTGATTAAATTATAATCATCTAGATGTGTGTGCATCGCTCTCTCTCTCTCTCTCTCTCTCTCTCTCTCTCTCTCTCTCTCTCTCTCTAAATTCAAATTAATTCAATTCGATTCAATAATGGCTTTATTGGCATGACAAATGTTACAAATTTATTGCCAAAGCATTTCTAAAGTGTACATAAAAAATAGCATGCACATTAAATAAAAAACAGTAATTTTTTAATATCACAATTAAGCAAGAATTTTGTCTTTTAAAACCCCATGTTTGTAAGTTTTACTTTTTTATTTCTTTTTATTTATTATTATTATTATTATTATTTTAAAATCTTTGTTGTTTGTTTCTTTAAGGCTTTTCTCTCCAGATATTCCCACGGGCCCCTTAAAATAGCACGCTCTTTGACCTGCTCTCCCTGGACGCCAGTTAGACAATCTCTAGCTTATTTATATTTATGTTAGGCTGCCTGTACAGTCTTGCAGGTTTTTAGACTTTTAGACAGGTGTTTCATCTTCTATGAAGACACACACCAGAGTGTTTTATCAATGGGCGCTCCTGCAGTGGACTGGACTCCAATGCCCACAACTCTTCCCGTGATGATGATGACGCCGCCGCAGCCGCGCGCAACGCGTCTCACGCAACGCTCTGTGTTTTGGAGAAGAACGGAAGATGGCGTCCTCAAACAATCCGCGAAAATTCAGCGAGAAAATCGCCCTGCACAACCAGAAGCAGGCGGAGGAGACCGCGGCGTTTGAGGAGGTCATGAAAGACCTGAGCATCACGCGAGCTGCACGGGTACGTGTGTGTGTTGGTGTGTGTCGCGGCTAAACGTTACCATAATACAACTGCTATGTAGGATATCGCCTGTGTTTGATTTAAGAGCATTATTGTCGCACTGGCGCCGTGACATATAGGACGGTTATGTGTCGGTGGTTGAGCTTCACGGATGTAGACTAGCTTTAATCTCAGTCAGAGATGCTGAGGAGATGCTGGCAGTGGTCAGACAGATGTCACACACATCTGCACCTGCTCTGGCCTTCAATGGAGTGCGATTGGTTTCAGCTCTATTATTTCTTGTTAGTGTTTTTTGTACCCGCCACATTTCATGAAATAGTATCATATTGAGGAGAACTGGGCTAGTTGTGACGAAGTCTTGGTGTCTGTGGGCATTGAGTTACCAGTCTGATTGCACATGTGCATTCTGTTGCAGTGGTTTATTATTTCTGGATTAGACATCTTGTGTTTGTTTGGATTAAAATGTTATTCCTGTCGTGTCTTTGTAAAAGCTGTTGGGTAAAACAAGTATGCTAAATGTAATAAACACACACATTCTCTCTCTCTCTCTCTCTCTCTCTCTCTCTCTCTCTCTCTCTCTCTCTCTCTCTCTCTCTCTCTTTCTCTCAATCTCTCAATTCAATTCAATAATTGCTTTTTTGGCACGACAAATGTATTGCAAAAAAAGGTGTAAAGTTTACATAAAAATAAAATACTATTCATATATAATAAAAACAAAGTAAACAGTAGTTGTAGTAAAAAAAAAAGAGATATATTATGCATATAAAATTTAATAAAATTATAAATAATATATAATATCCAATATATCATAATATCATTCAATGTATCACATTTTAATTAAAAATATATCATTATTATTCAATATATCATATCATTCATATCAGGTCTGTAGCCAGGGGGGGATTCGGGTGGTTCAAAAGAACCTATATTCTCATTTGACCAATTTTTACTGCTATATCATTATACATTGTGGAAATAACCCATCAAAGGTTTTTAAAAAATACACAATATGACTTAAGTGAAGTCAACTTTCACTATTGACCAACTTGTTAAACAAATCAATTTTACAAGTAGCCTAACTTTTATTCTAAATCTTGAACCTTTTTCTTGAGAGAGAATAAAAACAACCAATGTAAAGGTCTGATGCACAAAAAGCAGCCTATTAAAGTTAATTTTAATACTTATCAGGCTGTGTATAAAAATCCAAAATCAATCAAAAAGTTCTCAGGGGTATTTTAAATAATGTGTCTGTGCTCTTTATGTAAGGGATTCATCAGAATAAACATCAAAATCAGTCCAAGGCACTCAAAAATGTGGAAAAAATAATAAAAAGCATTTATTGACATGGCTGTTTCTTAAAACTGCTGCTACATCAGGTTACCCTGATGAAGTCAAGTGTTATCAAAACATGTAGGTGCAGTTTTATGAAATAGCCATGTCAGTAAAGGCTTTTTTAACATTTTTTTCCACATTTTTCAAATGCCTTACTGACTTTTGCTGTTTATACTAATTAGGCTGTTGTTGTTATGAATTTTCAAGAGAGGCTAGAAGAAAATTGTGAAGCTTTTTTTAATATTTGTTTATTATAAATCTTTAGGAAATATTTACATTTATAGGTACATCGAAAATGGAGGATACAACAAGCTAATCCAACTAAAAATAGTGCTTGAAATGCCACTTATTGGAGTATTTAAACATCATAATTAAATAGAAAATGAGGTGAATAACTGCAAAAAAGTCCACATTTTGAGAAAAAAGAACCCCCCCTTTCACCAGGCTGGCTATGGGCCTGCATATCATTCATTTATAACAATAAAAATAATAATTGATCAGAATAAAATGTACATTTTAACAATCAACATTTTTGGATAAAACAGTAAAAAAAAATAATAATAAGTATATTTACAACGATTCAGTTATAATCATCTAGATGTGTGTGTGTCTCTCTCAATTCAAATAATTTAATTCAATTCAATAATGGCTTCACGGCATGACAAATGTTACAAATTTATTGCCAAAGCATTTCTAAAGTGTACATAAAAAATAACGTACGCAAATAATAAATAAACACAGTAAATAGTAGTATTATATTTATCAATATATTATTTAATATATCACATTATCATATAATAATCAGAGGTGGAAAGAGTACTGTAAACTCATACTTAAGTAAAAGTACCATTACTTGCCCAAAAATTTAGTGCAAGTAGAGTAAAGCTATTTGTTGTGAATATTACTCAAAGTATGAGTAAAAAGTAAACCTTAAAGTACTCAAGAGTAGTTGAAAGCTGATGCATTTAGATATAATTTGTAGATGTGTGTAAATGTAACATTCTGTAGTGCATTTAGATATAGCCCAGCAGACACACAACATCATAAGACGTTAATATTAGGTTCGATTTAGGTTGTGATATTAGGTTGTGTTGTATTTTGATGTCCAATAACAACACCAAATGACGTTGATTGTAGGTCTTGTTAAAAAGTGACCAAAATCCAACATCAAGTCAACATCTTAAACCAACGGGATATTGATGTCAAATACTGATGTTTATTTATCAGGTATGGCAACCAAAATCCAACATCTGATAGACGTCATAGTGGTAATGCCCACACAATGTCAAGCTGTAACATCATTAGACGTTGATATTTGGCTGATTTTTGGTTGGACATTGACGTCGGCCTGACATTTGGTTCTGATGTCAACAAAATTTTCATTTCCAAACAAAGTGCAACATCCCACGGCGTTGGGGTACAATGTCAATCTGTCGTCATGTTGAGGTCTTGTGCCTGCTGGTTGTTTAAGGCCAATTCGGTCTTCATACAGTAAACATCCGTCATCTTCTCATCAGTGACATGCATCTAAACAGTCTCTGGGTCAATGCGTGTAAAAATTTTGGACATCTTCTTGAACACTTTCAATGCTTGCAAACAGTTTGCTGCAATTATAAATCGCCCATGTCTTAACGTAGTTCAGTATGATGTGATTTACCTTCTATCTGTGATTTGATTGGACAGAAATCACAGGACTGATTTTTTCTAATCCTCATTGACAAGAAAAAATAAAGTAGTGACTGCAGGTCGAAGGAAATTCGTAGAGTAAAAGTACCCAATAATGCAGTAAAAATGTACTCAAGAAAGAGTAAAAGTACACATTTATAAAACTACCAATTACAATTCCTGAGAAAAAACTACTCAATTACAGTAATTTGAGTTTTTGTAATTTGTTACTTTTCACCCCTGATATTAACAGATCACAATAAACTGTACATTTAGCAATCAACGTTCTGAGATAAAACAGTAATAAAAACAAATATTGCTGCAAGCAGCACTTATTGGGTCCAAGCAGCCCAGCGGCCACATCATAGGGCCTATTCACACTATGTACAGTTGCCTTGAACCGTGCCGAAGTATGCTTGTCCCCCCTCCCATCTCCCCCGACAGCCTACACTCACATTGCATCCGAGCCGAAGCACGCTTACGTCATCAATGATGCGACTGTTCAGTTTAACAGAAGAGAAGCGCTCTCGCTCAGCACTGTGGAGATTTCTTTAGTAATATCGGTTTAGTCGTTTGATATGCCGTGACACAAAGTCAAATATTTCACAGAACAGATCGACCACTTTTGACGCTCAAAAATTATCACAAAGTCTTTGTGCTGCAGGAATTAGGAGGTTTGCTGAAGGTGCAGCTGTCATGCAGTGAGGGGTTTGCGTCTTTAATAGTCTATAACAGTTTGCGTCCATTAAACGGTAAGAATGATAAATAAATCTATATGAAACAGTCCCTTACAAGTTGCATCTCGTCTTCAGTTTCTGGACCAAGTGAACCGTGCTCTGGCACACCTCTTCCAATTGAGCCAGGGTCGGCCAACTGAATCGCGCCTGAGCCCAATTCAGAGCACTCACACGCCACGGTTTGGATAGTATAGTGTGAGTGCGCCCATAAACAAGAAAAGCAACAAGCTACAGAGCAACTGTAAAGTTCTAAACTTTGTTTGGTGCCAAGTTTGGTGTAAATTGGGCTAAACATCTATGGAGAGTTCAAAACAACAGCTTTTTAAAACTAATTCAAGATGGTGGACAGGAAGTTTTGTCAATTCGGAAATAAATTATATCAATGTCCTCTGTAAAGACCAGTCTCATGACAATAGACTAGAGGTGCACAATTAATCGTAAAAAGATCTCGATTCGACCCCCTAGACGATCTTAATTCAGCATTTCTACGATTCTGTCAATCATGTTTTCAAGTTCAGGAGAGAAGCAATGGGGGTCGCACAAGCCTTCACATTGTTTTATATACATTGGTCAGCAACGTGGACACCTCCAAATGGTGTGTAAGAGTCACATGCTGTATTAAGATATAATTCACCTCAAAAATGTCATTTCTGTCTTCATGTAATGTATTTGCGACTGCAAAATCACACGTGACGTGAGCTGACCGTCAGCTGTTACCACAGAGAAGGAGGACGGACGTGCGCGCGCGCCTCTAAATGAAGTTTACTTTAGCGAACAGAACCTGCATAAGCTGTGAATACCAGGTAATAAAGTTGTAAATAACATTCAGTTAGTGGCACAGGGTGATCGCTTGGGAGCCGTGCGGGAAGTGAACCGCTCTTTGCAGTGAAAATGAAACTGAAAGCGCACACAGTGTTGCCAGATGTAGCGAACTCCAGCCCAAAAAGTATCTTAAACCTGCCGAAATGCAAAATACCCACTCAGTCTTCTGTATTCCCGAAAATCACGTCAGTGTCAGATTTTAAGCAGACAATTACAGATTGTAAGCATACGTCTCAAACACTCTTCAACATCAGAATTATCATCAGCATTAATGACCAGGACAAATCGAAAGTCTTTTGAAGTCAAACAATTCCAACTCTATACAACATTTAGCATTTTAACCAACAGTACAGCTACACAAAACCTATTGCTGTTTTACCACATGTTTGAGAATAACAGTAATAATAGCCCACTCATATTAACCTTTATTTTACATCCCCAGAATCGTGAGAAAATCGTGATGTTTATTTTAGGCAAAAAACTATTCAAAAGTAATTTTGTATAATTTCTATTGATAGAATTTAATTGTTTGTCAATTTTACCCAGAAAGGGGTGCAAACTGGTGTAGTTCGGTCTATGTCAGGTCTAGATCACACACATTAATTTTGGTTTCAATACTTTAAACCATTGCAGTGTTTCAGCCTTATAATGTCATCTGGGAGAATTACATCAAGTTTGCACATATGATAAATGCCAACAGTTTTGTCTGAATGCCATAACTTTTGGTCTACATCAGAGGTCACCAACCCTGTTCCTAGAGAGCTACCTTCCTGCAGAATTCAGTCCCAACCCTGACCAAACACACCTGAAGCAATTAATAGTACCTAAAGCAGCACTTGATAATTACAAACAGGTGTGTTTGGTCAGGGTTGCAACTGAAATCTGCAGGAAGGTAGCTCTCCAGGAACAGGGTTGATGACCCCTGGTCTACATGGTCTGACGATGATCTGAGTCAAACTTGGTTTGATTGGACCAACGGCCTAGGAGGAATTAAAAAAAGAATGGTTCCATCAAAATCAAAATGGCGGACAGGAAGTTTTATCTGTGTTGTCGGCATGACCCAAGGAGTAATTTGAGTTCAATTTCATTAAAATATATGCAGTCAAAAGTTATTCCCAAATGTGTAAGTTTCATTATTAAGGGTTTATGAATGTCTTATAACTCTTGACCCATAGGTGGCGCTGTCACCAAATTCTTATAGTGTGAGATGACAATGACTGACCTAAAATTTGGTGTCATTATCTTTAACTATCGCAGATATACAGCCTCAGATGTAGTTTGGCAATATGCCATCACATTTGTCAGTGCCGTGAACAAAAATCGTTACACCTATCAACTCAAATTCTCTCTCTCTCTCTCTCTCTCTCTCTCTCTCTCTCTCTCTCTCTCTCTTACATAACATTATCTAGATTTGTGTTTGTTATCAGTTAATAAACAGTTTCATTATTTACTAGCATTACTTAAGCAATAATTAACGATGGGCCATTAATTTATTTATTAAAAAAATGCACACAAGAGGTAGTGATGGTTTCAGGGATCCTTTATTAAAAAAAATAAAAATTATTCCAATTATGTGGTTACAATTTATGCCCGCCAACTTCGGGTAAACTTTAGAATAAAGGTCCATTTGTGCATTAACCAAGTATGTCTAATCTTGTACAGCAGCATTTATCGATCAAAGTTCAACATTAACTAATGCATTATTAAAATCCAAAACTGTGTTTGTTAACATTAGTCAATGCACTGTGAATTACACAACATTATTGAACTTAAATAACGTTAACTAACGCTAACAAAGATGAATTTATACCGTAATAAATGTATTACTAATTGTTTGTTCATGATAGTAAATACATTAAATAACATTAACTAGTAGACCATTATTTTAAAGTGTTGCCCAAACTTCTCGTGTGTAAGTATTAAGTTGTTACCCATCTCATCTAAAGCCTTGTTTTATTTTTTTTGTTTGTTTATTTTTGACAGATATAGACTGAAATAATTGAAATTACTCAGTGTATATAATTAATAAACTCCAATGCAGTCAAAACCTACCTGGAAGTACTTTAAAATAATTGCAGAGCTTTGAAAGTTCAACAGCCCTGTTTTACAATAAAGGTAAATATGCACTCACCGGCCACTTTATTAGGTACACCTGTCAAACTGCTTGTTAATGGAGTCTCGATTTCTGCTGCGACATTCGGATGGTAGTGTCAGAATTTGGGATCAACAACATGAAAGTATGAATCCTATCAGTGGCTCAGGCTGCTTCTGGTGGTGTAATGATGTGGGGGATATTTTCTTGCCCATTAGTAACAATTGAGCATCATGTCAACACCACAGCCTACCTGAGTATTGTTGCTGACCATGTCCATCCCTTTATGACCTCAGTGTACCCATCTTCTGATTGCTACTTCCAGCAAGATAGCATGCCATGTTATAAAGCGTGAATCATCTCAGACTGCTTTCTTGAACATGACAATGAGTTCACTGTAGTCAAATGGCCTCCACAGTCACCAGATCTCAATCCAATAGAGCACCATTGGGATGTTGTGGAATGGGAGATTCGCATCATGAATGTGCAGCCGACAAATCTACAGCAACTGCGTGATGCTATCATAATAATACGGACCAAAATCTCTAAGCAAAGTTTCCAATACCTTGTTGAATCTATGCCATGAAGGATCAAGGCAGATCTGAAGGCAAAAGGGGGTCCATCCTGGTATTAGTAAGGTGTACGTAATAAAGTGGCCGGTGAGTGTATGCTGTAAAAAATACAATGGTCACTGTTAATTCATACTACTGCAATGCATTATCTAAGTTAAAAAGGAATTAGTTTTTTTACTTTATAATTGTAAAATGTTTCCAAAAAGAAGTGATAGTATATTAGCTCAGTTTGAGCTAAAAATATTTCATACCAATCCTTGGTCAGTGTCAGTAAATGAAATTAACAAAGGAAACTTTATTTCTATCTTTCATTTGCGATTAAATGAAAACAAACAAACCCTGAGAAGTAATCAGTGAACTAAAACGTTTGGAAGTTAGCAAATCATCATTCTTACCAGATTGTAAATCCAGGCTTTTGTTTAGTCTCCTGATGTTTAACCTTCAGCATATCTTAGTGTGGTCACATATGTTGATACCCATGTTCTGCTACGTTTTATTAACTGGTCTGCTTTTCCCATTCTTCACTTGATAAAGTGTTATTCCTCCAGAGTATCCGGTTTACATTTCATTCATGCGCTCATTGCGTCATTCACTGCTGCTTTTCACACACTGTTATTTTGCACAGCTGCAGTTACAGAAGACCCAGTATTTGCAACTAGGCCAGAATCGAGCTCAGTGCTATGGAGGGTCACTGCCCAATGTCAATCAGATTGGAAATAGCAACACTGACCTCCCTTTTCAGGTGAGACCTTAGAAATTTTATAAGTATGAAAATTCTCTCTATATGCTGTCACTTTCTGGATGAATTACCTTTCAAATCGCCTAATCAGTTTCCTAAACATCCTAGATAAAGCTTATATGCATTAGACTGATCATTCCTCTTATGCAGTGCCTTTTCAGCGGGGTCAGCTTGCTAAACAAATACATGATGATATGGTTGTGATTTAATTCTATTAAAAGCTAAAGCAGATTATTATTAAAGGTATTAAACAGTTGGGTTTTTCCAATTTTGAATCCTTTTAGGCCATCTTTGGGTCCGGCTGGATCACTTTTAGCTTGGTATAAATCATTGAATTGGCAGGGGTGCCCAAACTCGGTCCTGGAGGGCTGGCGTCCTGCAGAGTTTAGCTCCAAGTTGCCTCAACACGATGCGATGTGCAGCTCTACAAGTCTTAAACCATGCAAGCCAGTGGCGACAGCGGCGAGAAAAAAACTTCACCAATTAGCAAAAGTGAAGGATAAAAATCTTGAGAGAAACCAGGCTCAGTTAGGCACGACCATTTCTCCTATGGCCAAATGTATTATGCAGAGCTGCAGTCTAGGTGCCGGAGGGTGGAGAACGCCTGATATCAACAAAGACTCTGCTGTCCCTGGAGTGTCACAGGAATCAGACACATGCTCTCTACTCCTCCATGACCACCACAGCAGCCGCTCAGGATACGGCCTGGTCCGGGATTGTGGAACCTTGGGATCATCTCTTCACAGGTCTTGGATCGCATCAGTGGCACTGCATAGTCTCCGGGGGCCTCTGAATGAGTATCCCCAGGTGGAAATAAAGAATAAATAGAATAATTAGCGTAGCTGCTGTTCATAGTGTGTATAAATACCACATATATAAAAAATATAGTGTATATACCACATATATATAAACACATCGTACACTACCTTACAAAAGTCTTGTCTCCTATCAACGTTTTAAAAACAACAAATAATAACTTGACTTCTAGTTGATCATTTGGTATTCGAAGTGGCGTTTATGAAAGGCAAAAGCCTCAAGATTACGCTTATTTTACCAAATATAACAGAAATAATGTACAGTATTGAATATAAAGTTATGCTGCAGTGGAAAAAGTATGAATATTGTGTATGACTCCCATGAGCTTGGAGGACTGCATCCATACATCTCTGCAATGACTCAAATCACTTATTAATAAGGTCATCTGGAATGGCAAAGAGAGCGTTCTTACAGGACTCCCAGAGACCATCAAGATCAACCATCAAGACATCTTCATCTCACCCCAGACATGCTTAATAATGTTCATGTCTGGTGACTGGGCTGGCCAATCCTGGAGCACCTTGACCTTCTTTGCTTTCAGGAACTTTGATGTGGAGGCTGAAGTATGAGAAGGAGCGCTATCCTGCTAAAGTTTGCCCTCTCCTGTGGTTTGTAATGTAATGGGCAGCACAAATGTCTTGATACCTCAGGCTGCTGATGTTGCCATCCACTCTGCAGATCTCTCATACACCCTTATACTAAATGTAACCCCAAACCATGACTTTTCCTTTACAAAACCTGACCGATTTCTATGAGAATCTTGGGTACATGCGGGTTTAAAAACGTTTTCTCCTGTATTTGTGATGACTGGGATGCAGTTAAACAGATGATTCATCTAAAATGTCTACCTACTGCCACTTTTCCAAATGATCAACCAGAGGTGTAGTTATTATTTGTTCCCCTTTCAACTGGGATTCATGAAAAGACTTTTGTCAGGAGTACATGTGTTTATACATTCACACTGTACATACATATATAAACAAGTACACAATATACATAAATACACATACTTCACTTACTATTATATTTGTATGCAGTTTTTAAAAGGTATGTCTTAAAAAACATGAATGCAAGGGGATTGTTGAATGTATGCTAGATACTATACTATAACAAATGTCAGTATATTTATTCTGATATCAGGACATAAATTGGTGTTAAATGTTGTTGTAGTATTGAAAGTAAAGTCTTTTATACTCAGTTGTATGATCCAAGAACCTTCAGACATATGTAAATATGGATTATTTATCCGGATACCCTTTGGAGTTGCTAATGGGGACATGCACTGCATAGTAGGAATGACTCTGTTCACATTGTAAAGCAAAGAATTAAGCAAAGATTCATAAAATTATCAGTCACCCTAAGTAGTGACGATTTCCATTTTACTGAATTAGGTAAATGTAACAAAGAGATATATCTGCATAAATGTCATTTTCTTCCTTCTCATTGCTCTTCATTAATGAAACACGAGCATAAGGATATACAAAATGGTCGTCATTGCTCTAAGCTTTCATACTGCTAGTCCATCTTCAGCCTGGAAGCCTGTGTTATGCTTTAATTTGCCTAACACTGCAACAACTTTTACTGGGAAAGTCAGTTTTACAGAGGAGATCACAAATTCAATTCTTTTGCAGACGACAGTTTTAGACACCAATCGGACGTCCCGGCACCATGGCTTGGTGGACCGCGTCTATCGTGACCGGAATCGCATCGCTTCTCCACATCGTAGACCTCTCTCTGTGGACAAGCACGGACGTCAGATATCCTTTACAGGAAAGAGTTTTGTTTTACTGGACTTGTATACAGTTGAAGTCAGACTTATTAGCGCCCATGTATATTTATTTCCCAATAGCTGTTTAACGGAAAGATGATTATCTTTCAACACATTTGTAAACATAGTAGTTGTAATAACTCATTTATAATAACTGATTTCTTTTATCTTTGGCATGACGATAGTACATAATATTTTTCTAGATATTTTTCAAAGATATTGACTAGTATGTGTAATTTAAAGGCTTAATTAGGATAATTAGGCAAATCATTATATAACAATGGTTTGTTTTGTAGACAATCGAATAAATAGGGGGCTAATAATATTGACCTTAAAGGTGCTGTATGTAAGTTTTTGACTCTTCTAAAACATAAAAATACCATAATGTGTTTGCAGATATTTAAGAAACATGCTAAGTGAATATTCTTGTTTATCTGAAAAACAATGCTGAAGTCAGATATTCTTCTTTGAAAATGTCAGAACGCTGTCTTTGTTTTGGTTCTTTTAACCTGTCCACTGCCACTTCAGCCAATTATATTTCAGCACTTCAGCATTTGCCTTGTTGGAAAACCACATATTCAATGTCGCCAACTTAGCGACTTTGTGGCTATCTGCTTAAGTGTGACGTCATTCGAATCGACTTCCGAGTCCAAGTGCTCTATCAAACTGGATGGGGAGACTCATTAAATAGTAATAATAAACATTTTTAAAGCGCTGTAATACTTTCTAAAATCACGATCCCAATATATACATATATATATATATATATATATATATATATATATCCATGCCTAATATCAGATGGCCAGAAAGTGATACATTTTTAGAAATTATTACAATTTTAGTGTTTCTGATGCAGGAAGTCCGGTGACTGTTGTGTACACCATGATTTTATATAACATTCATTTTAAAGTGTGACTAAAACGACATAAGTAGACATAAACGAATATTTTCTTAATTCAAATTAGTAGTGGCTTGGACCTGGAAACAGTATTCCTTACATCACGACTTAACAGGCGGATATTTAGTGAGTTTTCACACCCCCCAGTGACACATTTAAAAAAAAAAAAACGACGAATCTTGCAACTTTTTTTGGTGTTACTGGAGTTTTTTATAGGCGAATTACCGGTTTGTAAACATTCAGGATGCGCGCGCAGCGAGGTTGCAGGAAAAAAACTGGGAGCGCTAATATTTACTGCAAGGGAATGACATCCGATGCGGGACAGAGTTTGTTGTTGTATTAGGGATAAATTATATTGGTTACTTACATTATTTACATAATGCTTTCAGTGTATTATAACAGCTTGTCACCCAGTAATAAGCACTTTTATTCGTCAAAATTAACGTTAAAGTGAGCAGCGTTCGTCTGACAGGTGCATTTGCGAAAGGACCCTCCCAATGCATATTGGATAAGATGAAATGGCCAAGCATCCAGCGTGATCAAGTGATTTTACAAGAGAGAAGTTAAACAAGTCTTTGGATGCCTACGATTTGGTTCTGTGTGGTCATGTGCAAGAAATAATGGTTACCAGATTCAAAACTATGTAGTGCTAAAAACCGAGGTTCTACCTAGCTAAAAACAGGGAAAGAAGAAGGAACTGTACAAGGCCTGGGTAATTAATCATCAACAAGCAAAATAACTGCATTCTGACAGCAAACTGCTCTTGTATGGCTGGGTATGTGAACTTGCTTCTTTACATTTCATTCTAGGCATTCAGTGTCCGCAGTTTAATTCATTATATTTAAAGGGCCATGAAACCCCCTCGTTTCAGCAGGGTGTTTTCACACCTCTACTTTGGAAAAAGTCAGAAAAGTGGGCGTGTCCAGCTTTGTTTAGGGGGAGTGTCGGAGGAAGAAAAGAGGCTTGGTGATGAGGAACTGCTCTAAGCGTGTATTTTTCATGCAATGTTTGATACCGCACGGCGAATGACAGAAAAAACTCAGCATTTCCCGGAAACTTAGATGCACTCGGCAGGTAGCGTCAGAAAGCTGTGTGTGTTATTCTGGTCACAAAATGCGGTGAAAATCCTACACGAGGTTACAGTTTGGTTGTGGTGCTAACATGTTTACGCTCAGTGCAATAGTTAACTTAGTTCGATACGAAAAAACTGAATAAACAAAGAGCCCTGGTCGCTCACTTACCAAATCAGACGGGACAATCACCAGCAAGAGCCGCGTCTGTATTAAGAGGAGACTACAAGCGAATCCGGATCTCAGCATTTGCAGATGAGAACAGCTCTCAGGTAAACAATAATCCTCCTTAGACACGTAAGTTATTGTTGTCGAGCGTCGCGTACACTGTTAATCCACACGTGACTCCAGCTGCGCTCTCACAGAGAGAAAATGAAAACAAAACCTAACTGCAGTAAACTATAAAAGCAACACTTCACGCTTGTTTTGCCAACACAACGTGGCGTCTCTGTCGTCTAAACACTGTGACAGTAATGAATATTAATGAAGTTGCACAATAGAGCGCGCTGATTGGTTTGAACCAAGCCTTACTCTTGCATTAATGCAGCACACTGTAAGATGTAATAAGACACACTCTGGCACAGACGTCCAGTCTGCACGCTGGAATACACGCTATTATCTCATAGCCGTGACGCAGCTTCAAAAATTCGTTTCAAACCGGAAGTACGAATTAGCTTGAAATAACACAAAAAAAACAATTTACACTTTTTAATGAAATATATGTGTCCTAATGGTGTTTTTAGCAGTGTGGGACACATATACGACTGTCAACAGCTCAAAAAATGTGTTTTGGTGTTTCGTGACCCTTTAACAGTTTTTGCTGAAATCATTGCTGCAATCAAAAACAAGTAATGTGTATGATTCAGCATAGCGTGAACTTACCTGATATAACAAGAGAACTGCAGAGTCCAGCATTTTTAATTAGGTCCTCACTCCATTCAGCTCTTCTGATGGCTGTTAGCCAAAGACGTCTTCGGTTGGCATTAAAAGCAGTGTGGTGTACGGTAAGATTTAATATTTCTATTTTTGGACTTTCGCTTCTGGCATCCTACCGCACAACACAACATGTTTGCTACTGTAACCGTTTTTTTTTTTTTTTGCAACCGGTATGCACGGTTGAACTCATGCAACATGTGTGACAAAGGTGGGTAATTCCCCTATAATTTAGAAAATCAAGAAAGAGATTCAGTCTTTAGTCTTTTGAGTTAGTTATGAAGTTACAAACAGTCAAATAACACAGAACTACTAGGATAACAGTTTGTAGTTTAGATAAAACCACTGATGATAAAGATAAAAATCACTGTCATGTGCTCAAAAATGAAAGTTGTAGGCAGCAATTATTAAACATTATTTACTACAATATTTACAAATTATTTACACTAATACACATCTATACTGATATACTGATATCCAAACAACACTACATTTAATTAATTAAATTTACATGCATATATTAAGCGTATGATGTTGACGTATGACATAACCTCATGACATTTAGCGACTTTTCGAGCAGAGCTTAGTGACTTTTCATTAAAAATAGTTGGCAAAACTGCACGTATTTCATTCTGTCTTTCTGAAAGGCTTTTAAAGCATTCATTCATGACCAAAATGCTTCCTCCGGTGGACAGTAGCAGACTTCGAAATGAGACGCAGATTTAGAGTTTCACATGAGGTGGTTATTAATCAGCAAATAATATAAATAGTAGAATATAAACATTAGCAGGTCACATTGTAACCCTGTATCCTAACAACACAACACATGACGGGAGTCGCAGTGATAAGCAATTTGGCTGTTCGCATCAGACGAAACAGGACACAAATTTATATACAGCCATTCAGACGCACATAATATGCACTCAGTCACGAAATGGTAAGGTTTTTGATTTAATAATGCATATTAAAAATATGAATATACTGAATATATGAATATACTATACAATAATATTCCTTCTAGAACACGATTTAAATAATCCTTTAGATGGTCAGACTCGCTCCTGTTGGTCATCAATCTGGCAACCTGTGCTTGTGTTTGTTTTGATCCAGGAATGCAATACCTAGTTCAACCACTGGGTGTAAAACTTACATACAGCGGGCTCTATTTTGATGGTCCATGCGCAGAGCGCAAAACACAGGGCGCAAACGCTTTCAGGGCGTGTCAGAACGCATTTTTGCTAATTTAAGGACAGAAAAACCTGCTTTGCGCAATGGCGCATGGTCTAAAAGGGTTGAGTTTAATTTCTTAATGAGTTATAGGTGTGTTTTGAGAATAAACCAATTAGAGTCTCATCTCCCATTCCCTTTAAGAGTCAGCTGCGTCGCGCCAAGAGCGCATTCGCTATTTACAGGACGCAAAGTAAGTCTAAGTGGAAAAAATGAGCATTTCACTAGCAAACAGTTAACTGATTTTTTAACAGAAAACTGTTAAACAGAGCATGAGAATGAGACTGCTGAGAATGAGAGATAATGAAACTACTTCCACATTTGCTCTTGGATAGGGAAACCTTTACGCACAGACATCAATTAGTCTATAAATAAGTAATTTTGTTTGTTAAGCGCAAAGATTTGTTTTAAAACTATTTCTAAATTCAGTTCTAATTTCAAGCAAACAAATAAATGAACAATAATAACAAAGTGTGCTCAAAAACTTGAGTTATATCCTAAAACACATGCTGTGCCCCATATAGTTTAAAACCTGACAGGTGGGCAAATCTATGCTTGTTTTTAATAAAACAAATATAAATATGGATATAATAAATAATACTGCTAATAATAATAACATTATACAAAAGCAAATTGTTATGAATGAACTGAAAAAAGCCTCCAGAGATGAAGAAGACATAAAAGCAGTGATTTTTCATATTTATGTAGGCTAGAAAATAATATGTTTTGTAATATTTTAATCCTTTATATTTATATCCTATATCTATTCTTATTATATCCTATATATATCCTTAATATTTTAATTTTTTCATATGTAAAAATATTTGCCTGTTGGTCTCTTGTGCGTATTAAGCAGTGTGTAAGCGAGGCGCAACTCTGTGCCGGAGTTTAGACCGGGTTAGTTTTGGTCTAATGAAAAATCTATTATAGTTTTTCAAAATAGCAACGCGCCAGCGGTCCGCCTCAGAACGCCTTCCTTTTTAGACCAGAACGCCTATGAGCGCACAAATGAGCGCTAATGCATTTGCTATTTAAACAGCGTAGCGCAACGCCTCAAAACGACTCTTGCGCCTAGCTGAAACTAGCAAAAGACTATTGCGCCGCGCCTTGCCCCACACTGTGCCGGGTGTATGATTGGGCCCAGCACCTTTTATTCTAGGCACCAAAAAAAAAATCTGACTCTCTCTTGAAGAAATAATATTATAGGAAACACAGCAAATTTCCTTGCTCTGTTAAACATCATTTGGGAAACATATAAAAAAAAAAATACCGGTGAGCTAATAATTTTGACTTCAACCATATGTGTGACCGATTTCTATAATGTTGATGTATGCATGTGAGACGTCCTTAACTTTAATCACATTGACAGCTGCCCTTATGGCTCGGTATATCTGTCACCGCCTCCTGACACAAGTTGGCGGAGGTAAACAGTTTCTCTCATTAACTAATAAGGGTCATAAATCCTAGGGTTTATACATGTTCTCACCTCTGCTGGTCTCCTGCAGAACAAACTCTGACTCAGCTCTACACCAGAGCGCTGTGAATCCAGCTCCACAGGACTCTTTTGTTGGTGGATCTCAGGAACTGCAGTCAAAAGGCGTAAAGACATGTAAGATTTTGGGAGATTCTTTCTTTTTTTGGAATTTGTGATGTGTTTGTTTGTTTTGTTTTCATTAGTTTGATTGTAAAAAAATGTTTAAGTTAACATCAATAAGCTACAAAGTTAATACATATCTTTTTCTCTTTCTTTTGGGTACATTTACGTCCGATACACACAAGGCATCAGCGTCAGCGCTTCCCATTTTTTAGAATGGGTGACATTAAGTTGAATTGAATTTTGGATCTATGTGCTGCTTCAATGGTGTAGTTTGCTACAGACGTTAGGAATTTCTCATATTTCAAGCGCTAACAGAAGCGTCAGCCAATTAGATCGCTTAATGCAAATACCCCTGCTCTGACAGTAGCCAATTGTGGTCTAATTTCATTGGCTGATGCTGCTATTACAATCGCGTCAGTCCCAACTTCAGACAAGTCCTCTGTCAAGCATTGACGCTGACTGCCCATGTGAATCGCGCGTTATTTAACTGATCTACAGTGGTGGAAATAATACTGCAAATCATACTCAAGTAAAAGTACGATTACTTGCTCAAAATGTAGTTCAAGTAGAGTAAAAAAATCTGTTGTAAATAATACTTAAAGTTTGAGTAAAAAGTACACTGCAAAAAAAAAATCCGTAAATTTACAGTTTAAAACATAAAATAACGGACATTAAATTACAGAAATTTCCTTAAATTTAAATTTCTGGTAAATTTCTGTAATTCAACCTGTTATTTTACAGTACATTCCTGTAATTTAACCAACCCAGGCTCATTGTGGAAACGTAGTCCCGCGGACGTTTCTGGAGACCGCGGAATACGTCCCGGCGGGTATGTACAGCTGCAGTTTTTGTTTTTGCGAATCCGCGAGAGGCCGCTGTTGTGTGATATTTCTCATCTCGAACGTCTCTCGCAGGCGCGAACTCTCGCGTCAACCCGCCAGAGGCCGCTGTCCGACTGACCGGATGATTGACTGCACGACCGGCCAATCGGCTGACTGCCCTCCTCTTTCCCTGAACCCAACCAATTTTACCGATTGACCCGCCCGCCCGGTCGCTTCCCCTAAACCCGAGCAACAGTTTACAAAAGCCGTCCAAAAAAAGAAAAGCCCTGATTTTTTTATTTTTTTCTACTGCGTTTTCGGATTTCACCGCGTTCTCACCCTGTTATGAAACTCGTTCACTTAATTTTTGGGATTCTGTTTTTGTCTTACCTGATTGCTGGAACTGCTCTTCCCCGGACTCGAAACCGATCGATCGCCGTGGTCAACTCCCCCTCTGCATCTCGAGCCTGCCGACGTTACACGGTGAGCTGAGTGGACAAACGGGTTGCAGCGGGAAAGCCCTCCACAAGGAGGTAAGCGGTCGGCCGGCAAGCGCGAAAGGGAACGGCGTCACACCGCCCCGCAGCGTTCGCTTGAAAAAAATAAATGCAGCCGTACGTACCTCCCGGGACATATTCCGCTGTCTCCAGAAACGTCCACGGTACTACATTTTCAGAATGAGCTTGGGTTGAAGTTAACGGCCGTTATTTGACGTTTTTTTTTGTTTTTAAACGTAAAATTACGGATTTTTTTTTTTGCAGTGTAGCCCTTTTAAAAGATTAATGAATATTATGATGTGAAAGGTTGATTTTGACATCGCTTTGACTCACATGCTGAAAATGGCGGACGTGAAACAACAAACTGAGGATATGGTAATGCGTCTGTCAATCAATATTGGTGGGCGTGGGGAACGCACTCCTACGTCAAGTTGTGGTCACTTTGAAAACCGCTCAAATTGGTCCACCGTTTTTATTTTGGTAAATTGAAAAAAAAAAGCACTGGGTGTGTTTATATCACCCCAATATGGCGGACTATACCTACACACATGTCTGTCCAAACAGCTTGAAAAGTAGATGCTTCACCATAGGTGCCCTGTAAAAACTCACACAATTCACAGTAACATCAAACTCAGTAAATCATACACCAACATGTAAGGTGTTTTTCCTCATTTACAATGACGTAACCGCTATTTCCTCCATATCTGTGTTTCATCAGTGCTGTTGCTCACCCCTCCGGACACAGAGGATGCTGAATCAGAAATGGAGAAAGATGATTCCAAGACATCTCTGCTCACAGATTCCTGTGATGTTCCTGGCATTAAGTAAGTTATTTGTTTTATTAGCCTCTAACATAAGTAGAAAGTGTCGGCCATTATCTAAAAATAACACCCACCAACATTACCATAGCTTATCTCGCTATGTATTCTGTGTCATTTTTATTCACCAGCATATTTCCCTCTCCCGATGAAGAAATGAATTGCTCCTTGATGCCAGGTGCTCACAGCACAGGCGGCTCTTTACCTGATCTGACAAACATCCAGTTCCCTCCTCCCCTCCCGACCCCACTGGATCCGGACGACCCTATTACCTTTCCTACATCCAGTTCCAGCAGTACCAGCAACCTGACCACCAATCTGACCCACCTGGGGATCAGTGCTGCCAGTCACGTTCCTCCCTCCCCTCCAGCCCAGCACACAGGCTCCGCCCCCTCACCCAGCCTCAGCCAACAGCAAACCACACCCACACTACCGCCTGCTGCCTCTCCTCAGATACCACTTGCACAGGTAAGCCAGCTTCTAAAAATCAATTTTGCTTGCATTCCAGTTAAAATGTACACTGTATAGCTCAGCTATGGTGGCTGAGAGAGCTTAATATGTAGCAACTTATGAAAACCAGGGTTCAGAGGCTTCTTGAAAGTACATTGAGAGTTACAGACTGAATTCAATGCCTGGAAAATACTATAAAACATCCAGGACCTTGAAAGTGAATTTAAAGTTTATAGTGTTATTTCAATAACTACTGTGCTGCTTTCTAAAACTGAATGGTATTAAAATAACAAATGCTTAATTTAAAAGTCTTAAATTTAAATCTTATATAGACTGTTTTAATCTGGCTATGTCATTGGCCCATGAACATTTCCTGCTTGTTATCAATCTATTTCATAACTGCAATTAGAGGCAACTCAATCATAATTTAATGTAAAAACAGCTCTCATCACATTAGCTGCGTCCCAAATCGCATACTTATGCACTATTCTACGCCATTTTGTTGTATAAATAGTGTAAGTAGTGCGTTCACACTGAAAACTCTAAAAATAATAAGTGCACTTTAATTACCCGGATGATGCACTCATTCAGCCGCTAAAAAGAAGTGTGTAATGATGGACACTTCACGCACTCAACATCCGCAGGTTTGCTTACGTAGCGGAAGGGGCGAAGCTATCAGGTGCACATGTTGGATAACTTTATTTATTTTGGATGGTGAAAGCAAAATTCTTCTACGAGAGTGATTATAGCGCCTCCTGATGGTGTATGCGGTTATACTCACGGCAGGTATTATTTGATAAATTCTGTTGTTTATTTCACTGATTTGGTAACTGTCAAACGTCATCAAAGAAACAGTTTGAATTTCCGCTTAGTAAAAAAACATTAGTGTGCCATTTGGGACGACACTACATACATATACTATCCTGTTGAGTGTGTAAGTGCATAAGTACATAGTGCATGAGTGCATAGTGTGCCATTTGGGACGCAGCTATTATTTATCAATATGTGGCTCTGTTTACATTCTTGGAAGCTATGGAGGTTAAAAATGTAAAACAGGAAATACGTTGGGACCATTGTTTTTGGATTAGGTCAAATTTAACAGGGAGGGATGATGATACATTTTCATGCACTCCAACACATGCTCTTTGTCGGCAATGCCCGTGCGGTCACTTATTCATTGATGTAGATATTTGCGTTCTGGCCACCGGGAAAACTCTCGATCATAGATGTATGTATATTTGTGTATATACCTCTGGCTCCAGATGGCCACTGCACCTTGCACCCACATTCATTTCAAAGGAGCGCTAACCTGTACCAAAATGGCTCTATTGACTTATTCCTTCCAATAGACAACAATAGCGACATCCGATGTAAATTTAACTATGAACAACCACTGTTAGAGCATCGAAAAAGAAGATGGAAAGAAGGAAATGCTATTTTATTTAAAAAATGTTTCTGAATTGTAAGTTTTTAAAGAGGTTATTTTTCAATATTATTCCTATTCATTTATTATGTTTTCATTTTTTTATTTTTTTATAGTTACACTGTGAAACCTACATTATTTCTTTCAGTGTTTGATTTGTGGCTCATCTTGTTTCAGCACAGTACAGTAAATAATACTACTGTTGAATATCTAATAATGAAAATGTCAGAGAATAAAAATACTCTAGTTCACTATATTTATCTGTTCATGTTTTATTAATGGATACGTCTGAAGCACACCGTACATTAATTCTCTCAACTTAATCAGGGCTAGTAGTATACACAACTGTTCCTACAGATACACATTCCGGTATCGGATCAGTACTCGGTATCACTGATACCTTAAGCTCAGGTATCGGAATCTGTATCGCGAAGGAAAAAAGGGTATCGGAACATCTGTATAGGGAAGTTTGCAATTTTAAAAGCAGCCATGGTCTTACTAGGCATACTAGAGAGTTCCAGACAATTAATAATAATAATAATTCCTTACAGTTATCCCTACTGTAAAAATTCCTTACAATTCCTACCAGTGTGCAGCATCCACCTGGGTGACGCGATGGCAGCCATATTGCGCCAGACTGCAATATTCTCTGGTGGAGAGAAGACAGCATGATGAAGCTAATTATGATATGGGAATGGTTAGGAGGCCATTATAGACAGAGGCCAGTGGGCAGATTTGGCCAGGATGCCAGGGTTAAACCCCTACTCTTTTTCAAAGGACGTCCTGGCATTTTTAACGACCACAGAGAGTCAGGACCTTGGTTTAACTTTTCATCTGAAAGATGGCGCTCACTGAGCAGTATAGAGTCCCTATCAATATGCTGGGGCGTTAGGACTCACACAGATCTCAGGTGGAGTGCTCCCTGTGGGCCTCACTTACACCACTTCCAGCAGCAACCTAGCTTTCCCATGTGGTCTCCCATCCAGGTACTGATGGGGCGCAGCTCTGCTTAGCTTCAGTGGGCGACCATGTGAGAGTTGCAGAGAGCTAGTTGCCAGCTAAACAGGTGTATTATGGGAAGTTAAAGCTAAACACTGCAACACGTCCTGGAAGATTCCGAGTTAAATTATAAACATTGGTATTTAAGATTTTCCGTAAGGATACTTTGGAACAACATGTATCGCGAAACTGGGCAGTATGGTGGCTCAGTGGTTAGCACTGTCGCCTCACAGTAAGAAGGTTGCTGGTTCGAGCCTTTTCTTGGTTAGTTGGCATTTCTGTGTGGAGTTTGCATGTTCTCCCCTTGTTGGCGTGGGTTTCCACATGAGTGCTCCCGTTTCCCCCACACTCTAAAGACATGTGCTGTTGGTAAATTCAACAAGCTAAATTGGCTGTAGCATATGAGAGTGTATGGGTGTTTCCCAGTACTGGGTTGCGGCTGGAAGGGCATCCGCTGCGTAAAACATATACTGGATAAGTTGGCGGTTCATTAAGCTGTAGAAACCCCTGAAAAATAAAGGGACTAATCCGAAGGAAAATGGATGAATGTATTGTGAAATTTATAAATGTATATAGAATTGTCTAATTTTTAACATTGCTGTCGTCATAGCCGATCACGATGGACAGTCTGTTACTGGAGCAGCAGTTGTCTCAGTACTCGCTGCTGAGTTTACTGAACGACCTGCAGAAGCAGCCACACACCCTCCCTCAGAACATCCGTCTCATACGGCTCCCGCCCCTCACCGTAAGCTCCACCCCCAGCACCACCCAGACCTCTCTTGCCAGCCAATCACCGACAACCACAGGTGGAACTGCCAACTCGGTATGTCTTACATTTTACTTTAGGTTGACCTGGTCATTTCAGTTCTGCACAAATTCACCAAATCCTGTAATTCCTCCTCTACAGTACCGCAGTCAGCCTGGCTCTTCAACAAATCAGTCCCCAACATCTCCAGTTTCCAATCAGGGCTTCTCACCTGGTGGTTCACCCCAAGTAAGCATAACATTTATAATTTAATTCGTCATTTCATTATTATTATTTTTTTTTTTCAGCAACTCACAGAGGTGTTGACAAATGTTCAATTTCACTACACCAGGCCCGGCCCTAACCAGTTTGGCGCCCTAGGCAAGATTTCAGGTGGCTCCCCGTCACATCGCAGTAAATTCCACTGCTAGTGTATAGTCGTGAGAAACTAAATAGCTTTTTGATCGACTACCACAAGCTGGGAAAACGTCAAATAAATATGCCAATGCAATTAACATTATTGCTGAATAGATCTAATATTTACACATTTGCTTGAGGAAGGAATGATGGGGGTAGTTACATTACCATTACTATTTTCCATAACATCTATGCCCTTCCATAACATTAGCTGACGTTAAACCTAACAGATAGCACTATAGATATTTATTGATTAGCAATGTTATGCCATATCTGTCAACGTTGGGATGTAAAAAATATGGGACAACAAATAGCTTCAAATGATAGAATACATAGCAAACAATAGAAAATATTGACAATAAAATAAAAGGTTTAACTTATTAAAAACAATGGTTTATACAGAAATTAAATAAAGCTATAAAATCTATTTAACTTTTAATTGTATTTGCATATTGATTAAAGTTACTATAGTTGTTTAGTGAAGAGCAGCAGATGAATCTTTCGTTGGGTTCTGTTTGATAACAGAGATGTTAATGTAAGAATGCACAGATCTATATGAATGAATGAATGACGCATTCGACTACTTTAATAACTGTTTGTGCTCATTTAAGAAAAAATTAGTTGTGTTTAAAATAAAAAACGCCAAAAACAAACAAAAAAAAGAGCAAAAACAGAGCAAAAAAAAAAACTAAAAAAAGAAGCACTTTTCCGACGGTCCCTTACTGAGAGCTCCACTCCGCGCGAGCTCTCCCGGCTAAACGGAGCAGTGGTCGTAATGTCGAGCGAAAAAAAAAAAAAAAAGAAAAAGACAGCTGTGAAACATAACCAGCTTTGTCTTTTTGTAGGAAACACACTTTAGATCTTTTTAGGGTAAGAGGTTTTTGATTTATTGCTGTATATCACTGAATGTGTCAGGAATATCAAAAACAAAAACAACTTAATTCATTTCTGGCGCCCCCTGGATGTACAGCGCCCTTAGCATTTGCCTATACTGCCTATGCCACGGGCCGGCCCTGCACTACACGAAACACATTCTAATAATTAGATAGCAAATGCACAAAACATAGTATTGTCACTCTTTGTTCAAGAATCTGCTAAAAGACAGCACAGACTAAAAGATCTTGGTTAATCAGAGGGAAAACCGGTTAAAAATGAGAAGCTGATGTGGATTTTATGTCTTCACAAGCATATTCAGGTGGTTGGCAGCATCTTTGGAGATTCGTTCTATGATCAGCAACTTCCCTCCAGACAGACCAATTCCCTGTCAAACCAGGTACTGTTATACATGTGATCCTTTTCAATCTTCTAATTAAATAAATGACAACTACGTTACATGATTTTACAGATATTAACACCATCGATAAGTTCATTTTTCTGCTTTCATAGTGGACTGTGGTCTTTTCTGAAGTTAGCTTTTGCCTGTTTGATTTAGATTAGTGTCAAATTCTGCATATCTGGGATATTTGTCGGTTATTTACAAACAGTAAGACGTTATGATTTATTTAGGAGGTGCTGTAAGCAATACACACATAGAGTGCTTTCACACCTACACTTTTGTTTCAGAATCTGTCTCGTTTGCCCAGTTAGCGCGGTTCGTTTGGCATATATGAAACTAGCAATCGCTCTCGGATCCGCGCCAAAGTAATCGCTCCGAGATTGCTTGAATGAGGTGGTCTCGGCTCGATTGAAACGAACCCTGGAGCGGATCGATTGCAGTAAGAAAGCGATACGATCCGAGCGCGGTTATATCACAGTGTTTTATGGATATGTAATAGGCTTACGGCTATATGAAGAGAGAATTATCTTTATGGAAGTTTCGCGAATCTCTGGATGCCCGCAAATGGGTGATAATCTCCGGGTAACAATCGCACGTCTCCCTCCCGGTCCTCAAATAGGCTACGTCGCGCAACCTTCTCACCCCTCCCCACCGCATCTCTCTCTTCAGACACGTCGCGTGCACCATGTCAAACACCACCAAACCACCACCTCTCCTGAATCAGCTAAGCTGGACTCTGCAAAATAAACCCTGACACTGACCAATGTGAGGAGAGTTTACTCACACGTGACTTGTTTTAGCTCTTTTGGTTCGATTAGAAACTTTGCAGTGTGAAAGCGAACCACACCAAGAGCAAAGAGCAACAATGTAACACTTGTAATGTCTGTTTCGGAACAACTGAATCGATTCACAGGTGTGAAAGCACCCTTAGATTAAAGCAAAACTTTACAAATTAATGCGTGTCATAAAATTATTACATATAGCATATGGGCCTTGAGCATGTGTCAGTACTGTCGCCAAATTGGTACATGGCTCCCAGGACAAAAGTCGTTTACCCGCACTTTGTCAAGACTAAAGCCAATCTTAAGATGCTGGACTTTTGCGCTGCGTACGTGTGTAGTAACAAGCAAACAATGAAAACAAAGCATAAAGGAATAACAAATCATTGGTAAGATTTTGTGTGTTATGAAAATGTATGCTCAACAGGTAACATTATTGACGGTGCTTAATTTGAGCCAGATCCTGTTTCGGAAAATGTCAGATATTCGTGTTTTACCAGCAAAAAGTCTATTTTTTAACTATTGGAATAATTTCAGCCAATCGGCTTTCTTATGTTCAATCACTCTCATTGGTTGGTGACTATTGTTTTGCGTGAGCAGCAAAAATAAGTGTGGTTTATTTGTGAACTAATTTCGAGAGGATCACGTGCTTATGATCAACAGGGCTGACACCTCATTAGCTCAGTAATCTGCCCTATTAGATAATTACGGAAGCATTATAAACAACCAAAGTTTTCACTCCAGTTATCTTCGTCTTGAAGTTTCCCCCCCCTTCCACCCCTACCTGCCACAGCACAGTGGCCCAGTGGCTAGCACTGTTGCCTCACAGCAAAAACACCACTGGTCCAACCTTCTATCGGGTCGCTTGGCGTTTCTGTGGAGTTTCCATGTTCTCGCCGTGTTTGCGTAGTTTTCCCCTGAGTTCCCCGGTTTCCTCCCACTGTCCAAAAACATACACCATAGCCAATCGACTAATCCAAATTATCACCCAAGACAACCTTAGTTTACACTTCTACATTAACGCTAACTCTGACCTCAACCTAACAGTTTACTGACAATCTAATGAGAATCAGTTGGCATGTAGATGCAATGTAACTTAAATTCAACAAACAGACCATCAAAATAAAGTGTGACCTTCTTTTTTTATTGCATATCGTGCAGCTGGAGCAGTTCAACATGAACATGATGGAGAATCCAGGAAGCACTAGTCCCTGTTCAACACTCAACTACACACAGGCCGCCATGATGGGTTTAACTGGGAGCCACAACAGTCAGCAGGACGCACAGCAGCTGAGCTACAGTAGCCATGGCAACATCCCCAACATCATTCTCACAGGTATTGTGCTTGTCGTTCTGAGAGATGGCACAGAGGTACAGTAATTTATCGAGATACTTCACCTATACACTGCCTGACAAAAGTCTTGTCGTCGATCCTAGTGTAAGAGCAACAAATAATAGACTTGACTTCTTTTTATGTTGAACTGCATTTCAATCTGTTGAACTGCAATTCATTTATCACAAACACTGCAGAAGACCTATTGTAACCCGGATAGACCCAAGATTCTCACAGAAATCAGTCAAGTTTGGTGAGGAAAAATTCATGGTTTGGGGTTAAATTCAGTATGGGGGCGTGTGAGAGATCGGCAGAGTGGATGGCAACATCAGCAGTCTGAGGTATCAAGACATTTGTGCTGCCCATTACATTACAAACCACAGGAGAGGGCAAATTCTTCAGCAGGATGGGGCTCCTTCTCATACTTCAGCCTCCACAACAAAGTTATTGAAAGCAAAGAAGGTCAATGTGCTCCAGTATTGGCCAGCCGAGTCACCAGGCATGAACATAATTAAGCATGTCTGGGGTAAGATGAAAAAGGATGCATTAAAGATGAATCCAAAGAATCTTGATCTCTGGGAGTCCTGCAGGAACGCTTTCTTTGCCGTTCCAGATGACTTTATTAATAAGTGATTTGAGTCATTGCAGAGATGTATGGATGCAGTCCTCCAAGCTCATGGGAGTCATTTTCCCACTGCACCATGACTTTATATTCTATACCAGGCATGTCCAAACTCGATCCTGGAGGGCCGGTGTTCTGCAAAGTTTAGTTCCAACCCCAGTCAGACACTTGGGCTAGCTAATCAAGCTCTTACTAGGCTTTCTAGAAACATCCTGCAGGTGTGTTGAAACAAGTTGGAGCTAAAATCTGCAGGACAACGGCCCTCCAGGACTGAGTTTGGACACCCCTGTTTTATACTGTACATTATTTCTGTTAACAAGACTTTTGTCTAAGCAAAGTCAGACCTTACTGTCTTAATTAAATAATTAAAAATCAAGCCATGATCATATTTTATTTTGGCAAAGTAAGCGTAATCTAGAGGCCTTTGCCTTTCATAAAAACCACTTCTGACACCAAATGATCAACTAAAAGTCAAGTTATTATTTGTTGTTCATAAAACTTGGATAAGCAGCAAGACTTTTGTCAGGTAGTGTATGTAACAAGAACTAGTTTTGGAGGGAGAATGTTAACAAAGTTAAGATGAAATTCTGGAAATGAATGAATGAAATTTTTGCACTTGTAACAGTCAACTGTCAGTCATTCTGAACCCTGGGTAAACAATATGCGGTTCTTAATTCAAATAATGCATATTATACATACACTGTTTCAGCACAAATCATCTGTGGTGCAGTGCATTCAGTGTCTGAATGTGGAAGTATGCACATTGTTCATGCGTTTTTTTGCTATCAGCATGAAGTCTGTCATAATGTATTGATCATTAAAGCGTTGGTTCACTTGAAAATGAAAATTAGCCTACGATTTGGCAACAGGAGGATGTTTCTTTTCTGTCAAAAATTAATCCATTTAAGCACATTCATTCATGATAAAAAGTGCCTCACGGTTCCAGTGAGTGAGTAATGCCCCATTCACACGATGCTTCAGCGTCAACGTTGAAGGCGTGTCTGAAGTTGGGGCTGATGCGATCTTCATATCAGTGTCAGCCAATGAAATTCAGTCAGCAATAGGCCACTGTCTAGCTGGTGTATTTGCATACAACGATCTGATTGGCTGACGCTTCTGTCGGCGCTTGAAAAGTTGAGCTAGACCCAACTTCTGCAGCGAGCAATGCCTCTGAAGCGGCGCAGACGACGCAGTTCGACAACGCCTGACGTCACCCATTTAAAGTAAAAGGAAAGCATTGACGCTGACGCCCCATGTGAATGGGGTGTAAAGGTCTCCTGTAGTGAATCGATACATTTAAAAAAAAAAAAAAAAAAATATATATATATATATATATATATATATATATATATATATATATATATATATATATATATATATATATATATATATATATATATATAAGTAAAATATCCGTTTAAAATTTTTAAAAGACTTTTGTATTTGTAGCTTCCGCTAATTGTCATACTTGCATTCACAAGACACTGCCTTTTCCCGCAGATGATGTTGGATTTATGCATCGTGCATGTTAGGGGTGGGAATCTGTAAGTACTACACCATTTGATTCAATTCCAATTCTGGGAGTCAGGATTCAAATTATTCTCAACCTACATTTTTTCTTGTTTCCTCACCTGTGCAAATAAATCTTTGCAACTTCACGTTTTAATAGTGCAGTAGGTGATCTGCCAAAATGCTAATGTTAGCTTTGAAAACACAGTCCCTCCCCTGCTGTCCAAAGCACGCCTCCTGAAATCACAAACGCGCACCTTTAAGATGACTGTAGACAACCCACTAGATCATGTCAATCGGCAGTTAGAAAACTTTAAAGTATTATATGATCTATATTATATAAAATTGTATGTAATTCATTATTACATCTAGCACATGTTCAGTTGTGTAGCAGCAAAACTTATCATAATGTGCAATATTTCATGCATGCAAGGATCGCTGGTCTCTATCACACGCTTTGTCCTAAAGCGACTACAGTATACTTAGCGGTTGGCTGGCGGCGTGCAGGAATTACACTTATTACTAAGCCATACTCACATGCTATTTCAGACCGAATATTCAAAGTAGCATGGTAAACAATAAAGGGATCTAGTCACAGGTTGTCACTGTTCAAAAATAAACCAATGTGAATATAAAACCAACTTCACCTCAGTAATGCAGGCTGGGTGGAATAGCGCTGTTTACTTGTGTTTTGTTCTTAAACTAAATAAAAATCTACGTTATCGATGCTGTAAAAGGACCTTATGAAACTGAACTAGTCACATCAGTCTTTCACCGGAAGATTTCAGTGGCTGAACAACACTTCTGTGCATATAACCCATTCATAACACAACACAATCTACATCAGCTTTGTGTAACTAAAATACTTTTAAAGCATAACATTACTTGTCTAAAAGAAATACTTCAGCCATGGTGTCATCCTTCCTCCATCGTGATAAAATCCACTCCAATATTGATTCAGGATTTTAAACAGTTTTGATTCAGCATTCGGTTTTACTGCTGTCACTCTCTCGTGTGCGGCGGATCAGTCTGCGTCAACAGGGATGCACAGATGGACAAATCTCCATTTGTTGACAGACACTTTGGGCTACCTATCAGAATTATGGAAATTATCGACTAGACAAATTTTAATTGGACAAACATTTTTTAGTCATACCCAGATTATAAAAATACATTTAGATCATTTACTTTAAACATTGTGTGAACACTACTGCGCTACTTGACTAAAAATTAGCTTCGCTACTGAAAAGCTATTTGATTTAGAAAGTAGCAATGCTAGCTCCACGTTAAGCTAGTAGCGTCACTAATTGTAGCGGCGCCACTGCCCAAAACTGACAGTGCAGTATGTAAGTTTGACACCCGATGGTTGAACTAGGTATTGCATGTACTTCAAATGCAGGTTGCCAGATTGACGACATTAACAGAAATGTGCCTAACTGTCGAGTCTAAAGGCTGATTTGAGTCGTGTTCTAAATAAAAGCAACGGCACACAATTGAAAGAATATTTTCCATACTAAAAGGAGTTTTCATTCTAACCAACAGCTGAAATTTATATATTAGAAGCAGCTTTTCTTTTTGCAGTTGAACAACAGAATACTGACACTGACCACCTTATGTAAACCTCATGTGCTTTATTCAGAGTTAAATGCTAATAATGTGAGTTTGAATGCCATTTAACTTGATATTTATTGCCAAACTACTAAAAGCAGCAGCATATATTTGAGCACCGCAGATTTTGAAATAAAAAATCAACTGTTTGAAATTGAACTTTAGAGCTGTGACTCAGTGCAAACCAACCCATATCAGTGACTCAGAATCTACATTTAATAATGTTAAAGAGGTTTAATATGTATTAATTAGATTATAAACCTTACCTTTTCGTTGGAGTGCAGTGAGTGCTTCTGAATGGCTGTATTTAAATTGCTGTCGTGTTTCGTTTGGTGCAAAATGCCAAATTGCTTATGCATGTGGAACTCTGAAGCTGCATCTCATTTCGTGGCTGCAACTGTCCATCAGAGGTCACATTGTGGTCGACATGCTTTGAGATGCTTCCTGACTGAATGTATCAAATGTTCTATTTTCCACAAAGGAAACCCGGGGTACTGAAATATAATTGGTTAACCTGGCACTGGGCCAAAACAAAAGCCGCTTTCACACAGTGATACCAGTAAATATCCGGGAAATATCTGTAACAACTTTATCGGTAAATTCAAAAAAGTGCTGTTCACACAGACAAGGACGTTACAGAATCTTTACGGAAAAGACCGTTCACACATCCATTCCAAAATACCGGTAAATTCTGACATCATTAATCAGAAATGAGCTCTAAACGGCTCTGCTTGTATTTGTAAACATTTGACTTCATTACAAACTCTGTGGATGGATCAGTATTGTGAACAACTTCGATGATAATTATTTACACAGTTGGCATTAGTAAGGAATATAGAAACATTATCTGACTGACAACTAGCAGCTAAATGTGTCTAGAATATCCAAAGGCTTTTATCCCAAAGTAGACGTCCCACGTCAGCGCATTCTAGACGTGAACACACTCTTTGTGGCAATCTTCCTTTTGCAGTCACACAGCGCAGCATTCTGGCAAATTACCAGTAAAGATACAACTTCTCTTTCCAGAAGATAGCTGGAACGGATTTACCAGTATTTTCAAAAAGGGCCTGTTCACACATACAGACAGGTCAGAATGTGTGAAAGAGTTATTTCATATTTTCATAACAGAATAACTGACTTTAGCATTGTTCTGCAAACATATTACGGTATTTTCATGCTTTAGAAAAGTCAAAAACTTACATACGGCACCTTTAAACGAAAACGGTATTAGTGTAGACATGGGCTGCGTCCGAAACCGCCTACTACTCAGTAGGTACTGCATTCAAATTTAAACGTACTACTCGGCCATTAGATACACTATACAGTATGAATGTGAGAAGTATGAATGAAATTCGGACGTACTACATCCGCCATTTTGTCATGGTCACGTGACCTACCTGCGTCAGTTGCGTTGCTTCCCTTCCATTCATGAATTCTCTCGCGGGGCATTGTGGGATAGCACATCGTGCATGGGATGCACACTCCAGAATCTCGCCGGAAGTAGTAAGTAATCCGGGTACTTCTCGCATACTGATTTTCGAATTCTATGAATTCGGACATACTACTCGGCTCGCATACTGATTTTAGTGTACTATATAGTATGGAAGTATGCGGTTTCGGACGCAGCCAAAGCCTAAGTAAGCACTAATTTGCATATTTTGCTTTATCCCACATCAGTGACGGGGGAGTCTCCTCCCAGTCTCTCCAAAGACCTCACCAGCTCATTGGCCGGCGTTGGTGACGTCAGCTTTGATGCGGACTCGCAGTTCCCATTGGACGAACTGAAGATCGACCCCTTGACACTGGACGGACTGCACATGCTAAACGACCCAGACATGGTTCTCGCCGACCCGGCCACCGAGGACACTTTCCGCATGGATCGACTGTAAACCTTTGAATGCAATTTTAAGCGAGACATTTTTGCTGCATGGCCTCTCTGTTCACCATCTGGTCAGTGGCCGTCCCCCGACCTTCCCATCTAACAGCATGCTGCCAAACTACTCATGGCCTGGGGCTGGTGGTGGCAGGCAGCTAGGGTTTGGGGATGGGCTGGGGTGGAGGTGGAAGTGCCGTATCCACAATGGATGGCTTCCAATGCACAATACCATCCACCACCCACTCTCTTTATACGCTCAACTTTAGTTATCCGCGTTAGTTGTTAACGTCCATTTTGCGTTCGTCTCAGTCTATGTCGTGTCGTGTTTATACTATTCGTTTTACCAATCACGCTGTTATTGTGTTACGTTTCTATATATTTACGTTTCCTTCAGTATTTTATGTAACGTTAAAGTGAATTGCCAAATTTCATACATATGTTTGTTTGTTTACACAATTTCGACCTGTTTATTCATGTGTGTGAAATCAACATTTATTTATATCGTGTATTTATAATATTCTAATTATTTTTTTATAATTATAGCTCTAAATATTATTTAACCATATGTACGTAAGGAGCACTACTCCCCCAGATTGTATATCAAGGGTTTTAAGGGAGCGTTGCTCGTTGTACACTGGAAGGCATACGTTTGCTTTTACAAAATGGCTTCCATAGCGTTTTCGATTTGCTAGCATTTTGTAACATCTCAATGATGTCACGATTGGTGTTATCATATTTATTTTTAGCATTTGCTAGCGATTTTATGAAATTCTTGCAAAACGACAGCAGTCTCTCGATTGAATTCTACCAAGATTTTGGTGTTTTTGTGGACTGTCATGTGACTTTTCGCTATGTTTTGCGTATGTTATTTATTCATATTGAAGATTCCATTGCTGTAATGTATACGCTTCAACATTGGTCAGTAAAGGTGACCCAAGAGCTGCTGCAGAAACCTGCTGAACACTACACTGTGAGAGGACCTGATTTTGCCTTATATGAACAAAATGCTGTTTTTAACTGTTGATGTGTTTTTCTAATTGTATCCGAAGTGTTTTCCTCTCGATCTTCTTGGTTTAACGATGCCATTTTGTTTAGTATTGAACGCTGTAAAGTTTGTACTTGTACTGCCAAACATAACCCGAGGTTCTGTTGTGATGATGATGTCATTCATCTAGCTTGGGGAGAGTAATGCTCCTTATTCTGTGCTGTTCAATGGGAGTTTGTGTTTGTCGTTCCTGTTAGTACGTTCAAGCCCTGCATAATGTTTTTTTGGAATTAAGGAATCACTCATGTACAATTCAATGACAGTTACAATCACTACACTCTCAGAAGTAAAGGTATAAACCTGGTAACTTAAAAAAAAAAGGTTCACGTTTGTAGCTTGAGTACATATTAGTACCTAAAAAGTTCCAAAAAATTACCATTTACATGTTTAGGAACTAATATTTATTAAGTTAACCAATGTAGACACTTTTTGCCTTTGCTTTGGAGAGTGTATATACAGTGAAGTCCAAAATTATGAGTTAACGCTGTATTTAAATTGTCCCTGCATATTGTACAGCATTTAAGTATCTTTGCAAGTATGCATCAACTTATTCTGCTTACCCCAACCAAACATTCTACTATTCAGGGTTCCCATTGGTCAAGTAATTTTTGAAATATTATAAAATATCTATTCTTAGATATTAAAACGCAGTGCTTATGAATTTTTTTTTATCTAAGTTATGAAAAATCAGACTTTTGTTTGACATTTTAAATTTTACCTCCTACCTATCAAAATTTCAGATTATTGCAGTTAAAAATACCTGATTTGGTGAATTTTCTTATATCTTACAGCAATATTTAAAACATTTTTTTTCTATAATTTTTCCATAATTAATACCTGATTTGGTGAATTTTCTTAAAACTTACAGCAATATTTAAAGCATGTTTTTGTCTATAATTTTCAATCATTTTTTTCTATCATTAAAAATCTGAGAATTTTATTATTTTATTTTTTAAGTCATGGAATATTAGATTTTTGTTTGTTATTTGAAATTTTACCTCCCATTTATCAAAATTTCAGATTATTGCAGGCAAAAATACCAGATTTGGTGAATTTTCTTAAAACTTACAGCAATATTTGAAGCATTTTTTTCTGACATTAAAAATCTGGGAATTTTATTTTTACATTTTTTGTTCAAGTCATGGAATATCAAATTTTTTGCTTGTCGTTTTAAATTTTACCTCCCATTCTTGTTGGCCAAAAACGACTGATTTAATGTCAAATTTACTCAAAATTTACAGCAATATTTGCACCATTTTGTTGCGTTGTTTTGCTGTAGAAAATATACATAAATCTACACATTTTAGTTCATTACTTTTTCGACCTCAAGAACCATTGGTTCCTGTAATTTATATAAAAGGAATGCTTAGAAACAAAGAGAGAAAAGTGTCCAAATCTTAATCATAAAAAGCTTTTTCATAAAAAGCGTTTCAAAGCAGCTTAACATTGATAAAGTTCTAGTAAATTAAAATCTAGTACAGTTAAATTATCTTCAACAGCATTAAAAAACATGATCAAATTAACCTTTGAGTGATCAGTACGATGAATGTAGCCCTCAAATACAGTAAGTTTTGCCTGGATTTGCATTGCGTTAATGACATGGCCCATCTTTAGCAAGTAACACACTGCCTTGCATATAATGTTTATAATGTACATATAATGCGAATATGTTTTATATATATAAAATAATGCAGATGGCATGGAATGAATTTGAACAGTGGCCCTCTTGGTCAAAATATATCTGCGCTAATTTAAAAATCTCCAAATTTCCAACATTTCGAGCCATTTGCACTAATTCTGTCAGTACACAACAGCTGCTTCTTTTTCTATTCATTATAAGTCATGGAAATGCTGTGTGTTTTGTTGTTAAGAGACTATGGACTCGACATTTGGTTTAGAGTGGGAACCCTGACTAATACTGTAAAGAGAATAAGTTGGCATGTAATTGCAAAGTTAGTTATAAAGTTAACAAAATGGGACATAAAATAAGCTATAAACACATAATTATGTACATTGAACAATATGATTGAACATACAGTGAGTATAATATATCTTTGGAGTAATATAAAAAATATCTTGAGATCTATGTATGTTTTATGGGTGTACTCACACTGGGGTATTTGGACATGTTTAAGCTTTAGAGCATATCACGGTAACTGATGAAATACGGTAAAAATGCAAATTCCTCCTTCAAAAAAAAGATAGTTCATTCAAAACTGAATATTTTATCATCATTTACTCACCATTGATTTGTTTCAGATCGGTTTATGTTTCTTTTTTTTTTTTTTTTGAACACAAAATGATATATTTTGACTAAAGCTGGAACCCTGTACCCACTGACTTCGATTTTCTACTATGGAAGTCAATGGTTACCAGTTTTCATCTTTTTTTGTCTCCAAAACATCTTCTTTTGTGTTCAACAGATTAAAGAAACTAGCTTTGGAACCACTTGAGTGCGAGTAAAAAAATTTGATTTGATCTCTTTAGATTTGCAGATTGACAGCCAATATAGACGATACAAATAAATTTATCAATTTTTTCTGCATTATTGTCGAAACAAAAGCCAAACATATACAGAGAACAACTGATTTTTAACTTCAGAAAAGTTTGAAGTAATCTCTGAACATTATTTTGTGTACTATTATTTCTATGTCCAACTTTCTTTATCTGAATAAAATATACTGCCTGACCAAAAATTTGCATAAATAAAGCAACCAAGTCGCTGAACATAAGCCAAAAGTAAAAATGAAAATGAAATTGCAGGAAGCAAAAATAATAGCTAAATTATCAGCTTAAAGCTATCAGCTTAATTTAATAACTATGACATGGCCAATGTCAATAAGCCTGCCGATATATAAAAGTGGCAGGCAGGAAATGTGGAGTGCTTTAACCAGCAGAGATAATACCGAAATATTGGCTTAATGATATTGGCTTCATTTTGATATCAGACCGATAACAATGACATTAAAAATATAGCATTTATCGGTCAATGTCAATAAGGATGTCAATAAATAAAAGTGGAATGCAGGAAATGTAAAGTGATTCAACCAGCAGAGATAATACCTAAATTATCGGGTTAAAAATATTGGTTTAATTTTGTTATCCAACCGATAACAATGACATTAAACAAAGCATTTATCGGCCAATGTCAATAAGGCTGTCGATATATAAAGGTGACACGCAGAAAAAGTGAAGTGATTCAACCAGCAGAGATAATACCTAAATTATCGGCTTAAAGATATCAGTTAATTTTGTTATTGGACCGATAACAATGACATTAAACATAGCATTTATCGGTCAATGTCAATAAGGTTGTCGATATATAAAAGCATAGTGTCGGAAACGTGAAGTGGTTCAACAAGCAGAAATAATCCCAAAATTATCGGCTTAAAAATATCGGCTTAATTTTGATATCGGACCGATAACAATGACATTAAACATTGCATTTATCGGTGAATGTTAATAAGGCCACTGATATGTAAAAGTGTGAGGCAGGAAACTCCTGGAGTGGTTAAACCAGCAGAGATAATACGTAAATTATCAGCTTAACGATATCAGTTTAATTTTGATATCAGACTGATAACAATGACATTAAAAATAGCATTTATTGGTCAATGTCAATAAGGCTGCCGATTTATAAAAGCGTTGCGTAGGAAGCATGAAGTGGTTCAACAAGCAGAAATAACCCCTACATTATTGGCTTAAAGATATCGGTTTAATTTTGTGATCAGACCAATAACAGAGACATTAAAATAGCATTTATTGGTCAATGTCAATTAGGCTGCCCATATGTAAAAGTGTCAGGCAGGAAAGACCTGGACTAGTTCAACCAGCAGAAATAATACCTAAATTATCGGCTTAAAGATATCGGCTTAATTTTGTTATCGGACCAATAACAGTGATATTAAAAATAGCATTTATCAGTCAATGTCAATAAGGCTGCCGATATGTAAAAGTGTCAGGCCTAGAGGGGATCAACCAGCAAAGATAATAACTAAATTATCGGATTAATGATATCGGCTTAATTTTGTTATCGGACTGATAACAATGACATTACACATAGCATTTTTTGGTCAATGCCAGTAAAGCTGCCGTTATGTAAAAGTGCCAGGCAGGAAACTCCTAGTGTGGATCAACCAGCAAAGATAATAACTAAATTATTGGCTTAATATCGTCTTAATTTTGTTATCGGACCAATAACAATGACATTAAACATAGCTTTATCTGTCAATGTCAATAGGGCTGCCGATATATAAAAGTGTCCGGCAGGAAACTCCTAGAGGCATTCAACCAGCAGAAATAATACCTAAGTTATCGGCTTAAAGATATCGGCTTAATTTTGCTATCAAACCTATAACAATGACATTCAATATAGCATTTATAGGTCAATGTCAATAAGGCTGCCGATACATAAAAGCATCGCACAGAAAACAAGAAGTCTTCACACCAGCAAATATAACACCTAAATTATCTGCTTAATGATATCGGCTTAATTTTGATATCTAACCGATAACGATGACATTAAATTTAGCATTTATAAGCCAATGTTAATAAGGATGCCAATATATAAAAGTGCAGCATAATTAATACTTAATTATCGACTTAAAGATATCGGCTTAATTTTGCTATCAAATTTTGATATCGGACCGATAACAATGACATTAAACATTGCATTTATCAGTAATTGTCAATAAGGCTGCCGATATATAAAAGTGTCAGGCAGGAAACTCCTAGAGGCGTTCAACCAGCAGAAATAATACCTAAATTATTGGCTTAAAGATATCGGCTTAATTTTGCTATCAAACCTATAACAATGACATTAAACATTGCATTTATAGGTCAATGTCAATAAGGCTGCCGATACATAAAAGCATCGCACAGAAAACAAGAAGTTAATTTTGCTTTCAAACCGATAACAATGACATTAAACATAGCATTTATCAGTCAATGTCAATAAGGCTGCCGATATATCATGCATCCAAAGTATTTCTGAAGTGAAAACCAGCATGCTGCATAAATGATAAAGACAGTCTATTAATAAAATGTATTTTTGTTTTCTTTAAAACCAAAATTGCATCATAAATGGTGCAAGCGTACTCCGAATTGGTGAGTTAAAGTGCAAAATAAATAAATAAACTCAACAACCAAAGCACTATGGTGCAAAAAAACCCAGCACTAAAGCAACCCTGACTAGTGTGAGTATGCCCTTAAACTGCTATGATTATATAGTTACAAAGGTATTTCTATTAGTCATATTTTTGGACCCCACTATATTAAAATCAAAAAAAAATTGTCTGCTAGCCAGATGAAATTCAGCCTGTACTTGACATCAAACAAGACGTTTTTGCTTCAGCCAGATATATTTTGGTAGTAACTCTTAAAACTGTGCAAATCCGATTTGTGATTCCTATGCAAACGAAAAGCATTAATCGACCAATCACCTGAAGTATTTCTGGCTGCAGACCAATCGAATTCTTAGGGCTGAGAAGCAAGGATCGGTTCAGTGGATATTGTGTAGTTTATTCGACATAACCACAATAATCACTGTTTTAATTTCTCAAACTCTCATCCCAAATGTATCTTCTATAGTTTTCATGTTCACCATCAGCGTATTTCTCAAACACTTTTCCCCCCCTGAAAATAGTGTACATAAAGCTTAGCACAGGAATATGACGACTGCATGTCAAAACGAGTAAATACCTTTAGAACAAGGTCTCCGTTAGCTTTTTATTTGGTACGAGGTCTTCATTAGCTTGGCTAAAACAAAAAACAAAAAAAAGATTCACTGCACATAAAACAGTATAGACCCCCAGACACAGTGCATGTATTAGTTAATGCTAGTGGTGTCATTTTACTGTCTGTGATCATGTTTAGAAACGGAATATATTTATGGGGCTCCGTATTAGTGCATTACACCAAATGATCTGCTTGAGAATGCTTGACCAAAGCACCGATCTGTTATGTTGCTCTTTCTTTCTGGTCACAGTAGCATTTCTGATTTATTTCCTCACGATTGTAGCATGTTTAATATGTTCGTTTGGGTCATTCCCCCTCCTCATGCTCACTGCATCTTGGGTTTTCATTTCAAATCCTGTCAGAAAGATATGGCAGCTTTCATACTGATGTATGTGCATTTCTTCAGAATCTTTGGCTTCAGAAACTTGGACTGTTTTACCTTACGAGGATGCGTATTTTTTCAACTGTACATGCGTTTTTCTTCCCCGGTTTATCGTGATGGTGCGTTTTTTGTGTACTGTTCTCTGTACTGCACTGATAATTCAGAGGGAAAACAATTCTGGAAGCGTATATGTGTGACTTCCCAATGCAAACCGAAAAAAAAGGGCTCAGTCTGTTTGTTGCTTTAACGTGCGAAACATTTGGAGATGTGGGCAGACTGCACGTGTTTATTGGTCAAATAATCTGTTGTTGATTTAGCATGCAGCCAAACTGCCTGTTCGGGGCGTTTCTGAAGCGGTTTTAGCTAACAGCACTTCTGTGTATGTTGGAATTGTTAACTGTTCTGGTTATTTGTGTGAGCAAACCCCCTTTAGCGTAAATTCCCCTTTAAGCCTTAATAGAACTGCTGAGCAGTTAGTTACCATGTCCGTACCATTAAGACTAATAAGGACGTAGTTGACTAAACGGGATGTATTTCTTAATAAAAAAACAAAAAACAAAACATAATAGTAGTAGTGACCCATAGGATAGCTAGCGTTGATCGATATAACACTCCTTCCTTTTAATGAAACTGTTTTTTTTTTTTTTGAAAATGCAAATTTTACAACTTCACTGAAGTTTTATTATGTTTGAATCCATTTAGCCAATCTGTGGGTCTGACAAGAGCACTATTAGCTTAGCTTAGCATATTCAATTGAATCAGATTAGACCGTTAGCATCTCGCTCAAAAATTTCAAAAAGAGTTTTGATAATCTAACTATGTATAGCTTGACCCTTCTTAAGTTACATCGAGTACTAATCTACTTAAATCACACTAGAGTTTGAGCATGCCAAGTTCTGTCGCACAGTGCTACGGAAAGGGGCGGGACTTAAACAAGATGTTTAGACGTTTTAAAAGCGAGCGATTGCTCCAAATTTTTAATTTCTGTACAGAGAGGTCATATTTTGAATTTTGATTGGTTTCATGCAGTCAAGTGATGCGTTGTCGCAGGTCAGAGTTCATCAAGCTTGAACTTTGCAATAAAGCAAACTGCGAAACTTGTCGCAAAAGCTTTCGTTTCCAGTCTGACGCATTTGCCTGCGTATAAATGAAAGTCTATGGATTGAAAAGTACAACGTGACCGTGGTTTAAGTGTGACAGAAAATGAAAAGTTCCTATTTTCTTGGCTAATATGGCTATGAACTATACTGTAGTTCCATCATAATAAGAACAAGGAACTTGTAATATGCGCCTGCTGAAGCCATGATATGGCAGCAAAGTTCCTTGTTTCGTATGCCAGAATGAGAGTATAGTTCCTAGCCATATCCACCTAGAAAATAGCACACAATAGCTAAGTTTCCATCCACCCATTTTTATGCAGATTTTAAATAAGCGCATTAAAAAAAATGGTGGATAAAAATGCCAAGATGCATAAAAATGTAGAAAATGCACATGAAAAACGTATGCGCATAACTGAGTAAAATAAACTTTTTATTCGAAAAGATGCGCTTAAACTACGATGGAAAATACCTGATTTTTCTTAAAATTTACTGTAATATTTGAAGCATTTTTTTACATTTAAAATCAGGGAATTAAATTTTTTTGTCCAAGTCATGGAATATCAAAGATTTTTTATAATAATTATATTTTATTTAAAAATTTTACCTGCCTTTTATCAAATTTAAAATTTTTTGATGGCCAAAAATGACTGATTGAGTGGTTAGTTTACTCTAAATTACTGCAATATTTGCCGAACAGCAGGTCTGGCAAGATCACTATTAGCTTTGCTTAGCATAATCAATTGAATTAGATTAGACCATTAGCATCTGGCTCAAAAATGAGATTATAGTTCCTAGCCATATCGACCAATAAAATAGCACACAATAGCAACGTTTCCATCCACATTTTTATGCGGATTTTGAATATGCACATTAATAAACGGTTGATGGAAATGCAAAGATGCGCATACATTTTGAAAATGTGAATAAAAATCATTTGAACATAACTGAGTAGGATAAACTTTAATTCAATAAGAAAAGATTTGCTTAAACTACGATGGAAACACTTCAAACGCACCTTTGAACGCCACCACGCATTCATTTCGTGTTATTGCCTTCTGAGGCAAGTCATTAAATGAAGAAAAGATTCACACAGCTTCTCCTACTGCAGTAAATTCAGTTTGTACTGTTGATATTTGGTACCAGTTTATCAAGAAGTGACGATTTTGTTTGCTTTGATTTGTTGGATGGAAACGCTGCTTTATTTGCACGTCTTTCATTCGATATTCCAGTTTTCCGCAAATTTCTTTTTAGCATTTTTAGATGGAAACATAGCTTGTGTAACAGTATTCAAGCATATTTCTTTTTTTTAAATTTGAGCGAGATGCTAATGGTCCAATCTGATTCAATGATCTATGCTAAGCTAAGCTAAAGGTGTTCCCGCCAGGCTCAGAGACTGGCTAAATGTATTCAAAAATGCTCAAACTGAACTCTTTAATTCTAGGGGAGTTGTAAAAGCAGCCTGTTTGCAAAAATAAAAGTGGTGTTTCTTTAACTCATAGCATTAGCATTAACTAAGTGCCATCTATGATTTCTGTAAAGACGATATATATATATTTTTAATTTTGTCGACTGACATTTCACTTAAAGCAGGTTTAATGAGTATTAAAGGTAAACCTCTCATGAGAGTGTTAGATTACAGAATGTGCATCAAATCTTTGTGATCTTTCATTACGCGAGCACAGCTCTCGCTCTTTATTGGAATTAACGGTATATTAGGACATATAATTTGTGGTCGTCTAGAGCTTTCTTTGGGCCACTTCTGTAGTTGCTGTGCTGGTGTGGTCATCTTTGTCTCTTATTTGTGGTAAGTGATTGTAGAAGGAACTGATTTCGTCTTTTTGTCGTTTTGCTGGTCCTTTTCCATTTTCAGAAAAAAGAAGTATACTAAATATGGATGTGCATGATGTCTCCGCTGCATATATCAGAGCCTTCTTGTTATATCATTTATATTTTGTTACCTGTATTTCTGTACGTGTTTTTAAAATACATATATCTATATATTTAAATCCTGATGTCTGTGATCTCAGTGTTAATGCAGCATCTGTCTGCCATTTGGGTTTTTTTGAGGAAACCTGGTATTGTTCAATACATTTAAAAAATGAAGTATAAAATATGTCACACATGACGAAATTCACCAAACAAACATTCATTAAGATTGTAAAAAAAAAAAAAAATCTTGAAATTTGATGGTGATGAGTTTGGCTTTAAAAAAGCTGGATTTGCTGGGTTCTGAATGTCTCAAAATCCTCAGGGATTGTATCTGCAAAGAAAAAAGATAAAGAGACAAGTGTTGATTCATTAATTCCTTTTTTAGATGTGATTGCATTGAAAAAAAACTAAATTAGCAAAGGGGTTTTCCCTTTATTAAGGTTTTTAAATGCATTATGGGATCTTGGTCTTTCCTCCAACAACTTTTGATGCTGAAAAGTTTGAAAAAGTGTCTTTTATTGTCATTTTTAATAGTTTGCCATTATACATTGGCTGTTTTAGTGCTGTAAAATACAGTAAAAAAATCTGGTAATAAAAACTCCAGTACTTTTAGTTATTTTACAATTATATTTATTTCTACTGACTTATTTATTTATGTATTATTTCATATACACAACCTGACAAAGTCTTGTCGTCTATCTAAGTTTTAGGAACAACTAATAATAAGTTGACTTCTAGTTTATCATTTGGTATCAGAAATGGCTTAAATAAAAGGCAAAGGCCTTTAGATTACGCTTATTTTACTAAAATAAAATATGATCATGCCTTAATTTTTATTTATTTAATTAGGACAGTAAGGTCTGACTTTGCCTAGACAAAAGTCTTGTCACTAAACAGAAATAACGTTTAGGTTAATATTGTGCATGACTCCCATGAGCTTGGACGACTGCAAACATACATCTCTGCAATGACTCATCACTTATTATTAAAGTAATCTGGGATGGCAAAAAAAGTGTTCCTGCAGGACTCCCAGAGTTCATCAGGATTGTTTGGATTATTCACCTTAATGCCTCTTTTTTCATCTTACCCCAGATATGCTTAATAATGTTCATTTTTGGTGACTGGGCTGGCCAATCATTAAGCGCCTTGACCTTCTTTGCTCTCAGGAACTTTAAAGTGGAGGCTGAAGTATATATCCTGCTGGAGAATTTGCCCTCTCCTGTGGTTTGTAATGTAATGGGCAGCACAAATGTCTTGATACCTCAGGCTGTTGATGTTGCCATCCACTCTGCAGATCTCTCATACGCACCCATACTGAATGTAACCCCAAACCATGATTTTTACTTCACCAAACTTGACTGATTTCTATAAGAATCCTGGGTCCATGTGGGTTCCTATAGGTCTTCTGCAGTATTTGTGTTGATCGGGATGCAGTTCAACAGATGATTCATCTGAAAAATCTATCTTCTGCCACTTTTCCAATTGATCAACAAGGAATCAAGTTATTATTTGTTGCTTTTACAACTGGGATAGACGACAAGACTTTTGTCAGGTAGTGTACAAAGTTGTTTTAAACTAATAAAAAGTCAATAAACGGCAGAGTTGACTTTTCATCATCAAAATTTGAGGTAAATGGGATTCATAAAAAAAAAAAAACTGAATCATTGAAATACGGAAACTTAACCTGGAAAACCTACATAAATAATAATAAGCATAATTAATTAATCAAAGTATATCAGGCTATATACAGGAGTAAATTCAATAACTTTTAAGACCTTTTTTCAAGACTCTTTCCATAAATTTTAAGAGACCTCATCGCCATTTTAGGTTTTACTCGCTAGCACTGGCGCCTTTAACTCGGTATATTTACTAAATACCGATTGTAAGAAACAAATCCTAAACTAAAACATTATTCATATACTGAATACAAATGGTAATCCAGCAGGTGGCGCCAGAACAGCAGGAATAACGGTGTTGCCTTAGTTACGGCAGTAAATGACAGAAGTCGAGCAGGATTTTATCGATTTCATAAACTACACAGCGCCCCAATATTCGCAGCTTAAATTCAGGTAAGCTTTGGCATATACATTGTATACGGTACAAAATGTAATACCTTGTCAAATTTTAGCAACTTTTAAAACTTTTAAAAACCCTGCAGATACACTTAGCAAAGTGTAGCAAAATGTGTTGAGACCATTGAAGGATGTAAACAATAATGCCAACGTATTTCCTGTTGTACATTTTTAATTTCTAAAGCTTCCTAGAATCCAAAAAGTGCCACATAATGATAAATAATGTTATGATAGTGTTAACATGAAGTTATGATTGAATTGGCACTTGTTAAAGTTATGAAATAGTTTGATAACAAGCAGGGGGCCAATACATGACCACATTGAAATGGTCTATATCTAGAGGTACTTTTAGGTATTGTAAAGAAGAAAAGTAGCCAACCCTTAAGTGATTGTACACTTATTTACTTGCTTTCTAATGTGTGCAGAATGTATTTCATCAGAATAACCCACCGTTGCATCTGTAGCGCAGGTTGGCCCAGATTATGTTCTCCTGAGAAAAGCAGAAAACTCCCAGCCTTCCTCCTCTCATGGTTGCGTCGATAATAACTCCTGTGTCTGCCACCATCTGCTGACCTTCATAAAAGCGAACCCTGCAAGCAAGATATGCAATTATCACAGAAGGACCCTAAACTAATACCTAATACTTCAGCGTATTATAACAGCTTGTCACCAAGTGAAAAGCACAGTTATTTGGCAAAATTAACGTTAAAGTGAACGGCGTTTGTCTGACAGGTCCATAGCACCCTCCCAATGGATATTAGATAAGATGAAACAGCCTAGCATCCAGTCCGAAATATACAACTATCTCACTGAAACTCCAAATGACTTTACAAGGGGAAAGTCAAAGGCCTACAAGTCTTTGAGTGCCTACAATTTTGTTCTGTGTGGTCATGTGCAAGAAATAATGCCCCATAATTACCAGATTAAAAACTATGTAGTGCTAAAAGCCGAGATTCTGCCTAGCCAAAGACAAGGAAAGGCCTGGGTAATCATCAACAAGCAAAACAACTTAATTCTGAAAGTTCCGTGCAGTTCTGTGTTGGATTTGGCTAAAAACTCCTTTAACCTAATGGAGGATATTGTAATTGCTGCTAAATTAGATGAAACGTTATCCAACATACCTAATGTAGCCTTCTTGCGGTCTGTGCTGCAGGAACCAGCGGTAGGAGGTCTTGTCTTTCCAGCCAACATTTCTGGAATCTTTCCACAACAGTTTCACCTGGTTGGTGGAGTCACCTGTGTGCCAGAGTGAGTTCCGCAGGTTTTCTCCAGGTCCTGTGTCTGATTTCACTGCCTACCAGCAAGATAAATAAGCTCATATCAGATCTGTTATTAGCACTAACTGTTGTAACCAATGGTGGACAGTAACTTTTTTTTAAATAATTTTTACTTCACTAGTAAATATTATACTTTATCAGAGTATATATTTTTAGGAAACTTTTACTTCACTACATTCCAAAACCATATATTGTACTTCTTACTCCACCACATTTCCTGAATGTTTAGTTAATAAACAGCAGAATTATATCCGTTAATCTAATTATACTGTACCACTAGTTGTACTGAGTGGTATGGTATGGTTTGGTTTGGTACGCTTTTAAGGCTGTTTCCGAACCAAACCATACCATACCACTTTTTCGACACCCTTTCGAAAGGGTACCAAACAGGAGAAAGAGCACCAAAAGACGGAGCTAGACGCGCAGCTGAACGCTATTGGTTTACAGAGAAATGTCATACGCTTACGCAACAAGCGAGAATGAAAACAAAAGAGCCGCCATGTTTGAAATGCACAGCCGAGAGATCTTTTACAGTGTAAATATATATACAAATAATAACAAGCCATGGTCGACCCGGGCTCAAACAAACCTTGTCATCGTCTTGATGAACAGCCACAAAGCCAAAAAAGAAGAGCAGATTTTACCCTGTGCCACTTAGTTTTTTACGAGCCAGTCTGAAGCGCGAGTGGTTTCGCTTTCTTGCTTGCGCTCACCGCGCGTCTATATCTAAAATAACAAACTTCTTGAGCTGATGATAATACCGTGAGCTTGATTATTGACGTGCTTTTGAAACCCGGTCCTATCAGAAACTGACAAAGTTTAGCGCATGAGGAGTTTATATTTGAGAGTAGTCCACGAACAGAGGAAATCGGCATGTGAGCAAAGAGATTCGGTCGCTCATATTACATGAATGCGCTCTCGACTTGTAATACTGCACTCACATTTGTCAGTGAAATAACGTCATAGTGGCACGATACGCACAAATGAAGCAGCGCGAGTTGAGCGTTTTGTGAGATTGACAGGCGTTTTGCACTTGAGTTGGAAATTCTGAACTTCAGCAGACATTCACGCCGTGTTAACCAATCAGAACCTTGCTCTTGTAAGGGAGTGATTATGATGTAGCACCTGTTGTTGGTGTCCCGAGAGGAAATCCCCAAGCTGACACCAGACAACAGCTCATCAAACTAGGCTCGGCTCAGTCGGAAGCACCGCTAAAAACTTCCATCATCCAAGTAAACTTTCTGGAGGAGTTGATGAACTCACAGAGCTGGGTGCACCTCTGAATGTCTCTATTGGTCTCAGACACGGCTCCAAATGAATCAACGCTGTTTTTCAGCCTTCCTAAAGCACATAAGCACAGCTACTCTCTCTTTAAAATTCTTGTTAGCCATTTAGCAATGAAGCTACAGTCACCGGGCAGACAGAAGTCCTGGCCATGACATGAATTCCCATGTATTGCATTGCTCAGTGAATTTGATGCACAAATGAAGCAGATTTGACGGGCGAATGAAGCGAGTAAACTCAAAATGTTCACATCTATTTACACGCAAATTGCGTGATTTATCTGCGTGTACCACATCTAGTGTGAACACAGCATAAGACTCTAGTAAATCATACACTGATTCAAATGATTCATTCAGAGTGAGTTCATGTGAATCAGTGAAAATGATTCACCGACTCAAATTATCCATTCATAGTGATTCTCAAGTAAATGATTCGCTGATTAAAAATATCCATTCAGAGTGAGTCTCCAGTAAATGATTCACTGATTCAAATGATCCACTCAGAGCAAGTGTCCAGTAAAAGCTTCAATGATTCAAATGACCTGTTCAGAGTGATTAATTGACTGATTAAAATGATTTCTTCAGAGTGAGTTCATGTGAATCAGTGAAAATGATTAACCGACTTAAATTATCTTTTCGTAGTGATTCTCGAGTAAATGATTTGCTGATTAAAAATATCCATTCAGAGTGAATCTCCAGTAAATGATTCATTGAGTCAAATGATTCATTCAGAGCAAATGTCCAGTAAAAGCTTCAATGATTCAAACGACCTGTTCAGAGTGATTAATTCACTGATTCAAATGATTTCTTCAGAGTGAGTTCATGTGAATCAGTGAAAATGATTCACTGACTCAAATTATCCATTATAGTGTTCTCGAGTAAATGATCCACTGATAAAAAATATCCATTCAGTGTGAGTCTCCAGTAAATGATTCATGGAGTCAAATGATCCATTCAGAGCAAATGTCCAGTAAAAGCTTCAATGATTCAAATGACCTGTTCAGAGTGATTAATTGAATGATTCAAATGATTTCTTCAGAGTGAGAGTCCAGTAAATGATACACTGATTTAAAGGATTCATTCAGAGTCAGTCTCCAGGAAAAGATTCACTCATTATACAAACTGATCTGAATGATGCTCAGTGTGGTGTCACATGTTTTGCACTTTGACTCAAGTAATATTAAAAGAGAGGATTTTACACTGCTACTGGCATAAAAAAATGTATTAGTGTATCTGTACTTTTACTCAAGTGCTTCAGTTGTGTATTATGTCCACCACTGGTTGCATCTCTGTAATCAAAGACAGCATAAGTCTCACCTTCAGCTGGATACCAGGCTCAGCTACAGCTCTGAAAGGATTAGCCTGCCAGTAAATCTGCTCCACTTGCTTCCACATCACCACGTAGAAGCTTGAGCTGTCTTGATAGCCAAAAATAAACCCTGCATAGTCATCATCTGTCTCAGTGTTCACATGAAACGTTCCCTCGAAGTCCACTCCATTAAACGCGGTATAGCCTGTTCGAGTAACCAGAGAGTATAAGTGTGGAGTCTTCTGACGGAATATTCACTGATGTGTCTCTTTGTCAAAGTCTCTTACCCACAGCTAGTCCAGGGTCACTGTTCATGGTCTGAACAATCTCTCTTCCCTATTGAAAAGATGAGTATTCATTAAAGAAACAATAAACTTTTTCGGAGTGGGGTGGGGGGAGGCAGTTAAACAGTTGAGTTTCATCATTTATGAATCCAGCTGATATCTGGGTCTGGCACTTTTAGCTTAGCTTAGCTTAGCATAAATCGGACAAGAAAACCAACATCTCCTTAATTATTTTAAAGGGCACCTATGATGAAAATCATCTTTTGTAAGCTGTTTGAACAGAACTGTGTGCAAGTAAAGTGTGTCCATAGTTATATTAGAGTGATATAAACACAATAAGTCTCTTTTTTTATTTCCTGATATTAAAATAGGATCCAAATCCCTCCTATTTTGAGGCCCACCGCAACGTGACATCAGACATGACATTCATCAACGTGACATTCTCCACCCATTGAATTGATTGACAGACACATATTAACATGCCATATCCAACACATAACCATATCCACAGGACAGTATGTGCGCATACTGGAATAAAAAGATCCGTTGAGCTCTCTGTGATCATCTGCCCCTCAAGAATGAGTTTTACAAATCTAAAATAATTTTTAAATAGAGCATGTTTGTAATGAATACAGTGAAATTGCTACGTAATTCATCAACAAAGCTGCAGAGTGTCAGTATAAATATAGATGCTTATAATTAATTTATAAAAACGATGCTTTAATTCCTGATGTCGACTGTTTTGACATACCTCTGATGTTTGGGGTAGACTTTAATAAAATATAATAAATGGGAAATTTAATAAATAATATAAATAATACTTGTTAAATTCCAGCCACAATCAAATCTGATCTAGCAACAACTGTCTCGAAATGCTTCTGCAAAGTCTGATGCTTTGAATCATTTGAGTTGCGTGACTTGGGTGCTTCGAATCATTTTAGTCAAGTGACGTTTTGAATCATACTTCGGTGCAGTGTTTCAAAACACTTGCGCTTCGGAATCTCGACACTGTGTCGAAACGCCAGTTTCACATCAGCCATCCCCATCTTAACGCATTTTGTTGAATTTAAGTTACATTGCATCTACATGCCAAATAATTCTCAATAGATTATAAGTAGACTGCTAGGTTGGGGTTAGGGTTAGTGTAAGTTGACATGTACTTGCAAAGTTTCTTATAATCAGTTAAATGTCTGTTGAAGGAGCAGTATCAACACTAAGTAGACAGTCTACTAAATTCTCAAATGAGAAGTAATTGGCATTCATACTTAGCTGATGATTGATTATAAAGCTTGTTTGGCATGCTTTCTGGGGAGAGAGCCCTGAGTTCATAAGATCCTCGAGCCCGGGGCTCCTTCCCGCTTGCAAGGCAACAGGGGAGTTAGAGCTCAGGAAGATCTGGTTTATTGCTCTTAAGAGATAACTACTTACAAATAGCATATCTATGATGCTGATTTGTATTAGCCAATTAATTTAAGTTGCATGTTTTTGGATGGTGGTAGGAAACCGGGGAACCCGGGGAGAATGTGAAAACTCCCACAGAAATGTCAACTGGCTTGGTAAAGACTAGAACCAGTGACGTTCTTACTGTGAGCCAACAGAGCTAACCACTGGGCCACCGTGCCACCCATCTAGGAAAGGAGGAGTCTGAGTGGAAGCGGGGATTCTTCAATATGTAAGAATATATATGCTGTATATACTATATGCTGTAATATGGAACTTAGGGTATTTATAGTGGCTTAGGAATCCTCTGATTGGTGAATCATAAGTTGAATAATGCGCAGCAGCAAGCAATCGTAAACACGTGATCCTTTTGAAATTAGTTTATAAATAAACTTCACGTAGTTACAATGCAACATTTAGTCAATAAAATGTGCAACAGGGACCATCAAAATAAAGTGTTAGCAGTATATTTAATCTCAGCCTTGTTATATCATTGATCCTGTTTAGTCGCCTATTTTGACCATTGCCTGTTTTTGACTATGTTCCTGGATTGTCCTTTTTGTACTAGCCGCACCTGTTTTTGATCTTGTTTGCCTGCACGAATAGTCTTAAACTGCGATTTGATCCTTACCCCTGCTGTCCCTTGCCTTGATCCCACGTGACACTTACGGATACTCCTACAAACACACCCAGGCAAATTAAGACTAGCTGTGTGGTCCATGAACACAAATGAAATCTGATTCTGAAATAACTCTAAACAGAGAGACAGATCCTCAAAACTCCTCTCCTCTCATTCCTCTCATCCCTCTTTGAAGGATCTCATCCATCATTTAGCATCTGTTTATTTTTCCTTACTGGAATGTAAAGCAGAAGCAGATCATATACACTCATTTTCGTTTCTTTTGAAGCTCAACAGATTGTGTTTGGTCCCTAATGTGGACACAGATATAGTAAGGAGTAGAAAGAGGTTACAAACCTGATTGAGGACCACCCAGTTTGGATCAATCTGTGCATCACCCTCTGGGTCTAAAACCACGGTCTGATAGGTTCTGAAGTCAGTGAGAGTGACCTCCGCGTTCTCAGGACAAACGTCAATGATGTCACTAAATGTGTCGTTGTCAAAGTCATTCTCACAAACGTTTCCAATCCCATCACCTGCAAACCAATGAAGATCACGATAATATAATTATGTAAGCGATTGTAATCTGACATACAACATTCACACGAAGCCATCCTAGTGTGTACCTTGATGTCAAAACAACATAGAAAAATGTCAAACAATGCTAATTATGACTACCTTGATCTTGAAAAAATATCAAATTGACATCTAACATGGGTGTCAAAAAAACACCAGTGTTAGATGTCAATTTGATGTTGTTTTGGCATCAAATTAGCTTACATGCATTGTACACTACCTGACAAAAGTCTTATCGCCTATCCAAGATTTAAGAACAACAAATAATAACTTGACTTCTAGTTGATCATGTGGTATCAGACGTGGCTTAAATGGAAGGCAAAGGCCTCTAGATTACACTTATTTTACTAATATAAAATATGATCGAGTCTTGATTTTTAATGATTTAATTAGGACAGTAAGGTCTGACTTTGCTCAGACAAAAGTCTTGTCACTTCACAGAAATAATGTACAGTATAGAATATAAAGTCATGCTGCAGTGGAAAAAGAAAGAATCTTGGTTATGACTCCCATGAGCTTGGAGGACTGCATCCATACATCTCTGCAATGACTCAAATCACTTATTAATAAAGTCATCTGGAATGGCAAAGAAAGCGTTCCTGCAGGACTCCAAGAGCTCATCAAGATTCTTTAGATTCATCTTCAATGCCTCCTTCATCTTACCCTAGACATGCTCAATAATGTTCAAGTCTGGTGACTGGGCTGGCCAATCCTGGAGCACTTTGACTTTCTTTGCTTTCAGGAACTTTGATGTGGAGGCTGAAGTATATAGAGTGCTTTCCTGCTGGAGAATTTGCCCTCTCCTGTGGTTTGTAATGTGATGGGCAGCACAAACGTCTTGATACCTCAGGCTGTTGATGTTGTCACTTTGCAAATCTTTTGCACACCCTCATACTTAATGTAACCCCAAACCATGATTGTTCCTTTACCAAACTTTATTCGACTGAAAATTTACCTTCTGCCACTTTTCCAAATAATCAACTAGAAGTCAAATCAAGACAACAACACTTTTGTCAGGTAGTGTAAGGATACAAAAGTTAGTGTAAATTTGTTATTTGTAACTGGAGCTTTCAGATTAAAAAACATTTCTTATATTATAGTACTTTTTGTGTTGTTATTTTGACGTCAATGTCAATTTGATGTTGTTTCAAGTTTGTGACTTGGATGCAGGGAGGAAGTTTCTAAAATGACTGCGAGTATGGTTTGTAACCCTTCTGATCAAGCCAAAATAAGTAAGCATTAATTTTCATATTAAATATAAACAGTGGGGGAAAAAAGTATTGGACACGTTTTGTTTTTTCCAGGGAATAAAATTCCTAAAGGAGCTATTGACGTTGGAATTGAACCAGATTTTGATAAAAAAATTAAAATAAAATAAAAATACAAACATGGGAATTAAACAAAACAAAAAAATATTTTAAAAAATTAAGTTATGTTTAATAACAATGAAATGACACAAGGAGAAAGTATTGAACTACTAAAATCTATTTGATTATTTATATATATATATATATATATATATATAAACAGCTTTTTTGGCAGCTTAAAGATGCCTCCTATGCCATTCTATAACTTGATTTTCTTTCTCTAAAAGCATTTGAGAGTTTACTTGTGTTTTGGATCATTGTCTTGCTGAAATGTCCAACCTGTTATAATTTTCATCATCCTGCAAATGTAGATGCTGGACTAAAGCAGTAATATTAACTAACTGTAAAGAAAGGCAGAGACTTTCTTCATGTGTTCAATACTATTCCCTGTGTCATTTAATTGTAATACACATAACACATTTTGTTTGTTTTTTTACATGAATTTATTTGGTTGTTTTTACCATCTAGTGAAAATATCAAGTCAACAGCACCTTTAGAAATAAGTTTTCTGAGGAAAAAGGGTGATGTGAGGAATACTTATTTCCCCTCACTGTATATTTGCATTTCCTAGGCCAGGTTCTGCTGATTAGTCTCTGTTTGTGTTGCCCAAGCTGGTTCATTATGTATTAAGTGACTAAAACCAGATGGACACCAGCATTCCATATTAGGTAAGTCATCTTAAACTTTTGATAAAGAGATTGTTAGACAGAATATCAGTTTAATTATGAAAAGATTAATGTAAAATAAAGTGTTCAAACTTTAAAAGTCTGACCATCAATGTCTTCCTGTAGCGGGTTTGGAACCAATCGGCAGTTGTCTGGACCGGGTGGAAGAAGATCGGGAATGCCATCATTGTCATCATCGTCATCACATTCATCTCCGATGCCATCCTTGTCCGTGTCCAGCTGGGAACTATTGATAACTGCAGGACAGTTGTCTCGAGAGTCCTGATGGCCATCTCCATCACTAAGAATGGAGAATGAAACATCAGATTGAACGTTCTGATTACGGTTGTAACTAAGGGAAATCAATAGTTGCAGTTTTGTATTTACCTGTCTTTGTTGGTGTCACAAGGATCACCAATCAAGTCATTATCCACATCCGTCTGTGGAATAATGAAGGAGAATCAATCAAGGACAATGTTAGATATTTGAATATTTTGAGGCCTTAGTAACAGTGCAGGTCTCTTTTCACATCTACTTTTTAAGCATAGGTGGAGTTTGGTGTTTAGGAGTGAAGTTAAGTTAAGTTTGCCAGTGAATAAAAACTATTTTCTCTTTTTATTTTCTCATGTATTGTCATATTAGCAACCCAGGCTTACTCTGAACACGTACCCCTGTATACATTTCTGGAGAGCGCCAAATACATCAAAGGAGGTTCATTTTTTTGCAGTTTTTGATTTGACGAATACACCAGAAGCTGCTGTGTACTCTTTTAGAGATCTTAAATTTCTCTCACGAGTGTCATTCCCGCCTACTCCTCTCACGTAATCCACCAGAGGCTGCTGTCGACTGACTTACCGACCAAGCTCCTCCCTTCCCTGAAGCCAACCGATAGTGTTTTCAAAAGTACAGATTGACCAGCGCCCAGCCACTTCCCTAAACCTAACCGACCAGGAAAAAGAAAAGCCCTTGTTATTTTTTGGCTTTTGTTTCTGGAACAGTTCATCGCCAGACTCAAACCCAGTTGTCGCAGTCAAATACGCTCCACGTCACAAGTCTACCGACAAACACAGTGAGCCACTGGACAAACTGGTAACCGCGAACAGCTGTTCATATGGAAGCAGTCAGCTGGTAAGCGCCAGCTAGTAGTGTTCGTTTTAAAGACGAATTGCAGTCATACGTACCTCTAGCTACATGATTCGCGATCTCCAGAATTGAATATAGGGCAACTTTTTCAGAATGACTATGTTGTTTATATTAGTTATGGCATATTATCATTTTAGTAACACTTTAAAATAAGGCTGTGTTAGTTAATGTATTTAGTAACAGGATTTTGTCACTTTGACAAAAGGCGGATTCTTCTACATTAGGTTGGTTTTTGTACCAGTCTTTGTTAATTGTAAATGCATTTTAAATTTAAAGTAAGTAGTAAAAGGCTAGTAATGTAGGAAATGACATATATAGTGTGTCAAAAAAATTAAATAAAATCTGAGCTCATTTGCCGATAGGTGTGAATTCTAAAGCAAATATTTGAAACTCCGCTTATGCTTTATTCCTATTAGTTTACCCACAAATTTTAATTTGGTTATTACTCACACTCATGCCGTTTTAATACTCCTGAGACTTTTGTTCATCTTCAAAACACAAATGAAGATTTTTTTTGTTTTAGATGAAATCTAAGAGCTCCCTCATCCTCCATAGTCAGCAATGAAGACTAATTAAGTCAAAAAAACAAACTAAAAACTACAGTATGTCAAAAGATTCCATGTGACTTGCTTGGTTTGAGATTTGTGGAGCTTTGCATCGATGGATTTGCTCTTCAGTGTTTGAACTCTCAGCAGTGAAAATTAAACCCCACAGAACTGAGCTTAAACTCTGAAAACTGGACTGACACAGTTTCAATTTACTAGGAATTCTATGTTAAGCTGCTTTGACACAATCTGCATTGTAAAAGTGCTAGAGAAATAAAGATAAAGTGAAACTTCAGTGGTTCAACTGTAATTATTTGAAGGTTCAATTTCATGTGCCAAATAACTGTAAAAAAAAACAACTTTGGTCATCTATGCCTTCTACATCAACTCTAATGGCAATAAATCACACTGCAATACTGACTGTGGTAAAAGCGCACTCTGACCTGGTGCGGGAGAGAAGATATAAGTGTAAGAAGTCGTATTTACAGTATTTTGGTTCTTTAAAGTGTTAACCTAGCTCCATGTGTTTACACTTGAACAAATTAAGTGACGTAAAAATGTTTGACAATCTTTTTTTTTTTTTTTTTTTTTCTGGACTTTAGACAAAGAGTGAGCTCTTGGAGTTCATCTAATACACTTACTTTGTGTTCCGAAGGTGAACAAAGGTCTCAGGTGATTGGAATAACATAAGGGTGAGTAATTGATAACAGAATTTTCATTTTTTTTTATGCTGGACTAACTGATTTTTGAGAGGGGTCTGGATGCAGACCTGGTGCAGTTGCAATCTGAGAAGTATGTATTGCTTTTTAATGCCCACACCTGACCCCACCCCTCACAGTAACTTCACAAGCTCCACTGTGCATTGTGTCTGACATTAAATCTCTGAGATATGCAATCTCAGCTTGCATCATCAAAGCTAATATTGAGATTTTGTTTGCATGACTAAACCCATGAACACATTCTAAAATAGGGAATGTAGACCTGATCAGGATTGCGGATGTAGGGACAGCTGTCACAGGCGTCGCCGACATTATCTCCATCTCGATCCTTCTGGTCACGGTTTGGCACCTTTTTGCAGTTGTCATTATCGTTTTTGATTCCTGGACATCAAAACACAACTTATCAGCTGGACAAATGCAGGTATTCACGGATTACATGTACATAGTTATTTTAAAATTAAGAAGTTTGCAAAAGATGAAGGGATCTTTTGCATATTGTAGTGCAAATCAGCCACAAACAACCTGTGCTAAAGGCATTGTTCACCCTAAAATTAAAATATATGTACCTTTATCTCATACTCAAGTGATTCTAAACCTTTATGAATTTCTATTTTTCTATTGAACACAAAATCAGATATTCTGGATTTAAAAACCAGCCATCAACATGCACAGTAGGAATGGACAAGCAAAATACAGTGGAAGTATGTTCAGCAGAAGAAAGAAACGTAGAGTGGAGTATGAGTAAACGATGGTAGAATTGTAATTTTTGGTGACCTATCCATTTAAGACATGATTTTTTGGTCATTAAATAATGGCGCAAATACAAATAAATTGACTCCTACACAATATCATGCTTAATTAATTTCAATTGTCTTCTTTTTATTTATGTTTCTACTGGAAAACTTTAACAAATGTATAAGATCATTAATTCATTCATTTTCTTTTCCTCTCAGTCCCTTATTTATCAGGGGTCACCACAGCGGAACGAACCACCAACTATTCCAGCAAAAGTTTTACACAGCGCATGCTCTTTCAGTTGCAACCCAGTACTGGGAAACACCCATACACACTAATTCACACACATACACTATGGCCAATTTAGTTGATTCAATTCACCTAAAGTGTATGTCATTAGACTGTAGGGGAAACCGGAGCACCCGGAGGAAACCCACGCAAACAGAGGGAGAACATGCATGCTACACACCGACATGCCAACTGACCCCGCCGAGACTCAAACCAGCGACCTTCTTGCTGTGAGGCTACCACCGAGCCACCATGTCACCTCAATAAGTTCATCCACAAACTATTACTTAATCTGGTCCTCACTGTCTTTGTAAAGGCATGTGCTGTAATATGTCAGTTTGACATCAACAACTGATGAAGTACATACAATTCATTGAACACATTATACTTCTAAACCTCACTTCTGTCCCTCATTTTCATCCATGTCAAACAAAATTGTACAACATCACAACTAAGATCTAACATCCCAATGATGAACATATAAAAGTCTTACCGTCCCCATCAATGTCGTCATCGCATTCGTCACCCTGACCGTCAGCATCTGTGTCCTTCTGGTCGTTGTTTTTCACCAGACGGCAGTTATCACAAGCATCTCCATAATCATCCTGATCAGTGTTCTTCTGATTGACGTTAGGGACGAGCACACAGTTGTCCTGTCAGAGAAGTGAACAGCAGAGAGGGCATAACAAGGTCATTGGAGATTAGCATAGGTAATAGTAAAAGCATTGTAAGCTGCTTATCTGCATTCAAAAATATATTTTTGCAGGTTGTTCTAACTATTCATTTAAAATGAGCTGAATCAACACAATTTGTGAGTTTTTGGGGGGATATCTTAATTGTTTTATGTTCAATCCACTTAAATTCATTCATTTATTCATTTTCTTGTCAGCCTAGTCCCTTTATTAATCCGGGGTCGCCACAGCGGAATGAACCACCAACTTATCCAGCAAGCTTTTACCCTTCCAGCCGCAACCCATCTCTGGGAAACATACACACACACACTCATACACTACGGACAATTTAGCCTACCCAGTTCACCTGTACTGCATGTCTTTGGACTGTGGGGGAAACCGGAGCACCCGGAGGAAACCCACGCGAACGCAGGGAGAACATGCAAACTGAGCATGTTCAGAAACGCAGAAACGCCAACTGAGCCGAGGCTCGAACCAGCGACCTTCTTGCTATAAGGCGACAGCACTACCTACTGCGCCACTGCTTCGCCCTCCACTTAAATTTGCAAAAAAAAATTAAGTTAACTTATTCGATTTGTGTTGGGACAACATGAAGAAAGTGTGTTGAACTATATGTGTTCCACATATTTCATTCACATTGTTCAAACACTAATTGATTATGTTAACTAAACAAGTGAAAGTGGATTGAACATAAAACAGTTAGACTACATTGGACATAGTAAAATATGCATACAAAGGTAAGATTGGTCAAAGTATAAAGCAGGTCGCACACCAGGAGCGCAGCTCAGTGAAGCGCAGCGTCGCGCCAACATTGCCTTGCATTTTAGATTTTTAAACATAGGTTTCTATTAGGGTACACACAGAAGCGCCGCAAGTTGGCGGCACCCAGCCACAACTCAGGAAACAGTTCATATTTCTGCTGCACCACAGAGCGCCCTAAAGGCTTTCCTACCACGTTTTATTTTTTTAGAATTATATTATATTGTTATTCATTCATTCATTCATTCATTCATTCATTCGTTCATTCATTCGTTCGTTCATTTTCGTTTGGCTTCGTCCTTTATTTATCAGGTATCACCACAACAGAATGAAATGCCAACATATTATATTATATTATATTATATTATATTATATTATATTATATTATATTATATTATTTTATATTATATTATATTATATTATTTTATATTATATTATATTATATTATATTATTTTATATTATATTATTTTATATTATATTATATTATTTTATATTATATTATTTTATATTATATTATATTATATTATATTATATTATTAACTTTGCAGCATGCTAACATGAGACTACATTGGAATCAATAAAAGAGTTTTAAATCAGGTTTGAGAATCATAGTTGCATGTATAGAATTTAGATCGGTTCCTTATGAGTTAAGATGTTTAAATCGAAGGTAAGAGGCAACTTGCTAGTAACTTTCACCCAGATCTTACAAGGAAATGTAACAAATTTAAATAATGGCAGTAAAGAGGTTAATTTATATGCATTCACACAGTTTTATTCCCACAAAAACATAACCTTTTTTTAAAAGATCTGAGAAGATCTCATAGATCTGAAATGGGGTGACCTCTGACCTCTATGTTGAGAATCCCATCGCCATCAGCATCATCATCGCATGCATCACCAATGTTATCCTTGTCGGCATCCTCTTGGCCAGAGTTTGGAACAGTGAGGCAGTTGTCCTAAAAAAGCATTTTTATTTAGATAAGCACATATCATTTGTAGGTTTTCATTTTATTGTAACTTAACTGTTAGTTCAATCAATTTTTGTTTGTTTACCTTTGCACAGTTTCTTTCCACACATTCCAACTTTTCATCAGGGAAGCCATCGATATCGGTGTCAGTTCCACATAAGTATCCATTCCCAGCCCATCCAACGCCACACTAAAACAGACGATGTCATTTAGACGCATCTGTTAATCAGTTTGTTTCCATTGCGTCTGTGAAACTTGCTCATTGACTTACTGCACACTCAATCTGTCCATCACGGTGAACAATGCATTCTGCACTGGCATGGCATGGATTGGGCTGACCGTTACCACATGTCCGCTCGGCTTTGCACCCTTTGACCTGATCCCCAACAAAACCAGCATTACAGCGGCCACAGCGAAAAGAACCCTGCAACACACAACAATTCACAATAACAAGGAGAATTATATCAATCAATCAATCAGTCAGTCAATCAATCAATCAATCAAAGGCCTTTATTTGTCACATATATATACATGTAGTCGCATACACTGTCATATAGTGAAATTATACAAAACTGTATAATGACATATAATGACAATGACACACACATGCCTTGTGTACTTGTAATTCAAAAATAATACTTACTGTGGTCTTTTGACATTCAAATTTACCACATTTTTCCCATGAGGGCTGGGTTTAGAAGTAGGAATAGTGTAAGGCATTATAATATTTGTGTTTGTTTGTGTTTAAGTGACAGGTGCATTTGTGCATAGTATGGATGCATACAATAAGCTTTGAAAATTAGATTAGAACAAGATCATGAATTAGGAATTTGTCAAATAAATTTTATTGTATATCACGGTTGTGGCTAAGTCAGTGGCATTGCAAGGGGGGGGGCTTTGGGGGCTTAAGCCTCTGGGGCCTCATGTACGAAGACTTGCGTTGAAATAATAATAATTAAAACAATAATAAAATTATTAATAATAATACTAAAACATTGCGTACACACAAAGCTGTAAGTGTGCGTGCGCAGTAAAAAAATTCAGATGCATGAAACACTGCGTACGCGGAATCCCACGCATATTCTCTTTGTACATCTGAATTAACAAGCGCAAAACCCCTCCCTGCCTCCTCCCCCGTATGAATATGCTAATGACTCTACTTTTTTCAAAACCAAACGAAAAAGCAACGGCAAAAGCAAGCAAGAAGAGAAACTTTGAACAGAATGTGAATTGGAGGTGTGCCTAGGACAGGGATGGGCAAACTCGGCCCTGGAGGGCCGGTGTCCTGCACAGTTTAGCTCCAACACTAATCAAACACACCTGAACAAGCTGATCAGTGTCTTCAAGATCACTAGAAACCTACAAGCAGGTGTGTTTGAGTAAAGTTGGAGCTAAAATGTGCAGGACACTGGCCCTCCAGGACCGAGTTTGCCAACCCCTGGCCTAGGAGGTAAACTGGAGAAAAACTGTGTTATTTGCAAGTTTGTCCTCGAGAATTAATAACAAAAGAAAAAAAAGTGGGACAGCTGACGAGGGTAACGCAGTGGGGTCTCGTTAGACACCTCGTTGGAATGAGCTAATTAAGTGATAGTCGAGCGGACATCAGCAGCGTGTGTGGCGTAGCTCTAAAGCGCATGGCATTATGTTTTGACACTATCATTCATAAACTCGGTTCAACTCCGGCGTCTAATGATCTTATTTTTCTCTTTTCCCCATTACATATCAGATTTTGCCTACTCTTCATCACGAGGAACACGAGGAAAAAAAAACAGCATGACCAGCCAAGCCAGGCTGGGAGTCCAGCCAAAGCCAGCGATGTCCAGCTTAAACCAGGCTGGTCAGGCTGGTTTTAGCTGGATTTAGCTGGTCATTTTCCAGCCTGACCAGCTAAGACCAGGCTGGAAATGGCTGGAAACCAGCCTGGATATGGCCAAAACCCCTCTAAAACCAGGCTGGTCAACCAGCTAAAACCAGCCAACCATCAAGCTGGATTTTTCAGCAGGGATGTATTTTGTTGTCCAGTGTAATTGTGATGTCCATGTCAAATAACTAATAATACACCACCAGAATGAGATCGAGATTATAATACTTCACTCACCGGTGTGTTGATGCAGTTAGAGTTCTCCACGCAGCCTCCATTTGAATTCGCGCACTCGTTAATGTCTGTGCAGACCTGCATAAGAAGTTTCCATTTAATTGCCAACATTTTAATTTCCTGCTATTCAAACGAGTAAAACATTCTCAGTTTAAAATCTGATACCTGTTTATTAGCCGATGCATAGGGGATTCCAACCCCCTGCACCTGTTGACCCGTGTACCCAGCAGGACAGGGGCCACAGCGAAACCCAGGTGATGTGTTAATGCATCTCACCCCCATGTGACATGGGATTACAGTACACTATACACAAAAAAAGAGCATAGAAAAAACTTAGTGCACAATAAACAATATCAAATCTAGGGCTGTAGTTTGTGGCATGACATACAAGTGAAATCGTAATAGCCACTTTTTTAGACAATTCTTCATGAGATTGCACTTCCCCTTCAGAGTGCATAGGGCATAGGGATGCTTACTACTGATTGGAATATACCCCAAATTCAGCTCAGGCAGCCCACAAACCTCGTCAACGTCCTCACAGTGAGTTCCATCTCCCGTCATGCCTGCTGGGCATGCGCCACACTTGATGCCGTTGGGTGTAACAATGCATTCCACACCAGAGTGGCAGGGGTTGGGATCACATGAAGGCTGCAGATCTGCTGGTCTCATGCCTAAAGTGACACAAGAGAGAAAGAATATCCAAACTTTAGCAGATACACTCTGGATTATGGATCTCAGTTGAAGTTGAGCTTAGAATTTCTCACCACAGGCTTCACACTCCATAACCGTGTTCTTCAGGAAAACTATTTCCTGTATCTGCAAAACAGAATTCATCTCAGTTTGTGGGTTAAAGACATCCAGCTTTGCAGCCTGAATCAACTGAGATCAAATTAAATTGAACAACTGCAAATAAAGTGTGAACTTCAATGTTTTAAATGATATTTGAGAAAATGCTGGGTTAAAATATGAGTAAAATATTCATGTGTAGAAGTGAAGTTTTACATATGTGTATGTATTGGAAATTATTGGGCAGGCTTTTTGATTTGGGTTGTGATTTACCTGTTGCTTGAGTAGTTCTTTGATTTCAGCAAGCTCCTGGTTTGTGCCTTTAATCTGTTTGATAATCTCTCCATCTGTAGAGAACAATGCAGAATTGTCAAGACCATTTAGCGACTTCTCTTTTTTTTATGCAGAAGTAAGAATCTCAGCAAATTATGCATTCAGTTACGTGTGATTCTACAACTGTGGGTAAACAATTTTCCAATAACAAAAACGTTAAAGGTGCCCTTTAAAAAAAAAAATTGGGTATACAGAGGCATGGTCAAATAATAAGAAATCAACGTATGTAAATGGTCATAGTGCTAGCCTCAGACACCATTGTTAACTTGTTCTCATGTAAAGTATCCAAGTGTGATACCCCAAAAGGGGAATCAGAACACAAAACAGACTGTTGCGTGACTCACAAGGCACTCCCTCAGCATTTGCATGCTTTAGGTCAGTAGTCCCCAACCTTTTTATCACCAAGAACTGGTCAACGCTTGACAATTTGCAAGTCGAGAACGCAGAGGATGCTTGTGGGTGGTGCTAGGCAACCATCAACCATTTTCTCGAAGGATGACAAGCTGACAAAACATTGCTGCAACCCTGATACAAGTTTTATTTATGGAAAAAATGACAAAGCACTGCAAACACCGGCTGAGATAAGTAGTCTGCCGAAATGTGTATATTCCATACAAAATATGAAGTTGATCATCAGCTCTTGTCACGTGACTTGCGGTGGTGAAGACGTTTTCAACTGTGTGCACCTGGAAGGCACGAGCGTGTCGCGCCTCCATTGGAAATAAAGAACTTTACTGCAGATAAGACGCGACATGTGAATGGCCGCTGATACACCTGATTTGCTGACGAATGGTTTGTTGATCCATTCCTTGGAAGTTCGTGGGTAATCCACTGGGCTTTTTTCTCTTCACAAGGAAACTTTTTAAAGACGTCTGTTTCTTACTCACTTTGCTAGCTTGTGGGTTAAATTTTGGCGCTCAAATGACAATGACAATATCATAATTTCTCAAAATAAATGATTTTTAAAAATAAAACTCAGATAATAAATAAAACTGAATAATTAATACTTTCTTTTGCCACCTGGCACCAATTACCAATACCAAGGGCATCCGCTGTGTAAAACATAAGCTGGATAAGTTGCCGGTTAAATCTGATGTGATGAACCCTGATGAATAAAGGGACTAAGCCTAAGGAAAATGAATGAATGAATGTTTAGGACACACCAATAGTGTATTCATTATTTGTCAACTCTGTTATGAAACTGCATTAAATTCTGTTTGAGACATGCCATGTGTCTGGTTTAAGATTAGCATCTTTAGATTTAGCTAATGTAAATGTAAATTATACAGTTGTTGTATATCTTTCCATTACAATGAACTGGAAGGGGAAATGTTTGAAATGTCTTCACACTCAGAAATAAAGGTGCAAAATCTGTCAATGGTGTGGTACCTTTTTAAGGTACACTTTTGTACCATAAAGGGGGACATTAGCACCTTTACATGTATACTTTTTAACTTTTGTACTTTTAAAGTACTATGAGGTACACATTAGTACTGTTTTGGTATTGATATGAAGCTTTAAGGACTTGTTAAAAAAAACAAAATGTATCTTTTGACAAGGTGCCGTCCCGGTGACAGATTTTGTACCTTTTCGTCCAAGTGTGTGCGATCAGTCATTTATTTTCCACACAGCTCTCTAATGAATCATATTACGTGAAACACTTTGAATTTATTACATTTATTGTTGTCATTGTTGTTGGAGTTTTTCAAGATCCTGCAGACCATTTTCCCTTTGCAGTACACACTCAGAAATAAAGATATAAATGCTATCACTTTTTTTTTAATGGTACACTTTTGTGCCTTTAAGGTCCTTCGAGGTACACTCAAATGTGGTCCTGATACTATAAGTATAAAAGTGATCCTTTTGAAAAGATACCACACCAGTGATGGTTTTTGTACACTGAAAAAAAATATTCAAAGATGATTCCTTGGATTTACTCAATTTTTTTTACGTTAAGTGTTTGTAAACTATTTGGGCTGAATTTAAACAAACAAATTGAGTTGAACATTATTAAATTTAATTTGTTTGTTTAAATTCAACACAAATAAATTGTTTGCAACAGTTCTGCATGCAACAATTTTTCAGTGTACAATGCTGGGTTCCACACAATTCCTTCATGTTGTCCCAACACAAATCAATTAAGTTGACTCAATTTTTGTTTTTACAAATTTAAGTGAATTGAACATAAATCTACCAAGTTCTTTCCCCCCACAATTGTGTTAATTCAGCTCATTTTTAAATAAGTAGTTTGAACATGCAGCAGAAATCATTGTTTAAGTGTGACTGTGAAAAATGCTGGGTTCCGCACAATACTTTCATGTTGTCCAAACACAAATCTATTAAGTTAACCCAATTCTTTTAGCAAATTTAAGTGGATTGAACATAAACAATTAAGTTGTCCCCCAAAAAAGCTTGTTTCAAATAAGTGGTTTGAACAAGCAACAAAAAAATATTTTGCACATCGATGGATTTGCTCTTCAGTGTTTGCACTTTCAGTAGTGAAAATAAAACCACACAGAACTGAACTAAACTGAACTTCAACTCTGAAAACTGGACTGACACGGTTTCAATTTACTAGAACTTCTTTGTTAAGCTGCTTTGACACAATCTGCTTTGTAAAAGGCGCTATAGAAAATAAAGATGAATTGAATACTATTATTTCTGAGAGTGTAGAAAGACAGATATAGAGGTCTGGAAGGACTTGAGGGGGAGTTCATCTTTCTAAGGAACTCTACATTTAAGAACATATGAAAAATAAACTACACAAGAACAAAAGCCGAGCTTCATGATTAATGCTTGTAAAGCTCTGCTCACGATATAATGACTTTACCTGCAGGCCCTGTGGATGGCTTTCAGCATCTGACATTACAGCAGCCCGGACTTTAGTATTATAGTAATATGCCAATAACTTCTTTTGTGTCTTTCCCTGAAAACACGAGTGTTTATGATGTGCGCCAATCCATGTTGCTTTGCTCAGAACTGATGGCGGGTTCTGTTTTCTTTGTTTAAGCGTGGCCATAACATGTAATCTAAACATCATGCTTCACTTTTGATTAATCTCATGGGTGAACATGCTGTTATGACAGCAGATAAACTGTTACAGTCGTGATTTATGAGGTCTTTTTTTAAGAGACACGGGAGCAGAAATGCGAGAAACATTTCTTGTTTGGCAAAAGTTGAGCTTTTCTTCATTGCTGAAAGCAGCAAATGTTAACAAGGACAACAGCACCAAAAGATCTAAGACAAAAACTTAAAAGTAGGGGCTTTCTGTTCGAGGTTCCCGTCCCCTGAGGACTGTCCACCCAAAACAGAAGGGAAGTGTGCTCTTTCCATTAGTGGCAGCAGTGTTTCCATATGCATTCCAGACGTCCATGAGCTCAACTTATCAGTTGTTCATCTAGCCTATAGATGGTTACTTCAATTTGGTCTCCATCCTGCAACTTCTTGGAATGTAAATGTTACGTTGTGCCAAAAACAGCTCCTCACTTCTGTAAAATTGAAGAGTTGAGATGCAAAAACCTCTAAATGCCGTCTGAAATTTTCCTCTAAGATGAGCATTTTTATCAGGCTCCTGTGTGTATTTTCAGTAATATCACTTTTATGGCAAGGAATAAGTCCTTCATCTGGTCTTTAAAGTGAAATATCTCAACATAAACAAAAGAGGCTGAGAAAAATGTTTATTTTTGATGGAATTACGAAATTTTAATGCCACTTATAGGTCTTGACTTTGCAAATTTCCACAGTATCTATGTATATATATATATATATATATATATATATATATACATACATACATATATATATACATACATATATATATATATATATATATATACATACATATATATACATACATATATATACATACACACACACACACACACAGTTGAAGTCAGAATTATTAGCCCCCCTTTGAATTGTTTTTCTTTTTTGAAATATTTCCAAAATTATGTTTAATGGAGCAAGGAAATTTCCACAGTATGTCTGATAATATTTTTTCTTCTGGAGAAAGTCTTATTTGTTTTATTTCGGCTAGAATAAAAGCAGTTTTTAATTTTTAAACACCATTTTAAGGACAAAATTATAAGCCCCTTTAAGCTATTTATTTTTTTCGATAGTCTACAGAACAAACCATCTGTATACAATAACTTACCTAATTACCCTAACCAGCATATTTAACCTAATTAACCTAGTTAAGACTTTAAATGTCACTTTAAGCTGTATAGAAGTGTCTTGAAAAATATCTAGTCAAATATTATTTACAGTCATCATAGCAAAGATAAAATAAATCAGTTATTAGAAATGAGTTATTAAAACTATTATGTTTAGAAATGTGCAGAATAAACTTCTCTCCGTTAAAAAGAAATTAAGGAAAAAATAAACAAGCGGTCTAATAATTCAGGGGGGCTAATAATTCTGACTTTAACTGTATATGTTTAATTGATCATGATAGCTTGTAGCTCATCAAACAATGTCTGTTTAAACGAAGATACATAGCTTAAACCTTTCTAAAAATCACTGTAAAAAGTAATAAAAATCAAAAATACAAGACTGATATTACAAATAATATAGAGGAATGCAAATATTCTCTGGAATAACCTCACAGTGCATGTTAAATAATACACTGTTGAGACATAAAACCTCATAAACACAAAGAGAAACCATTAACACTACTTTATGTCAATATCTATGTTTCCATCCACCAATTCTTATGTGCATTTTGGAAATGTTCCCATAATGCACATAAAAAACGTATGCGCACAGCTGAGTAGGATAAACTTTTTATTCAAAAAGAAAAAATGCTCATAAACTATGATGGAAACACTTTTACCAAACAAATTCCAGTATGTGCATTAAAACAAGTAATGTAATTTTGTTATAAGAGATTGTAAAACATCTGAAATGTTGTTTTGGTCACTGTCATTTTAAACCGCCTTCACTGTTTCAGTATTATTGTTATTATATTAATAATGACCTCCAGAACTGTCAAGAGTGTCTGTGTTCCATGTCCCGCACCTTCAAACGCCACCTAGAGTTCATTGCGTGTCTGCATTGTTTTCTGAGGCGCAAGTCATTCCTTAAATAAATAAAACATCGACGCAGCTTCTATTAATGTTAATTTCCATCAAAATCGAATGCAAACGTGTGGAAAAATCAACTAACCTCTAGATATTCCTTGAGCAGAAACCAGAGCGCTGTGCAGATAGAAGAAACAGCTGAAGCAGAGACTCCACAGCATGTTCAGGGTCTGCGTCTGAGCAGGGCAACAGATCTGAGGTTCTGAGTGTGTGTCTGTGTCTGTGTCTGCTCTGCTTTTATACCACACGCCTCTGACGTCAGCTGCAGTCTGGATCTTCACACATCACACCTTTCATTCCGTTCCAAGGCTCGCATGCAAAGTAAAAAAAAAATAAAATTGGATTTGAGTCTCAAATAAAAACACAAACACACACACACACACACACACACACACACACACACACACACACACAAGCAATGATCAATGGCTGCTTGTTCGACTTTTCTCAGTGTTATGAGAAAATACCAGTGTGTCGGGTTGTGTAAATGCTTTCCCGCCACTCCGAAATGCTTAACTTTATCATTTGCTTTAAAACTTTAAGGAATGTTTTAAAGTAAATTTCAGTCTAATTAAAAAAATAAATACAAGGGTGATTTTAATGACTACACTGTAGAAATGCTTTTCATTCATTCATTCATTCATTTATTTTTCTTCAGCTTAGTCCCTTTATTCATCAGGGGTCACCACAGCAGAATGAACCGCCAACTTATCCAGCATATGCTTTACGCAGCGGATACCCTTTCAGCTGCAACCCAGTACTGGGAAACACCCATACACTGTCACATTCACACACATACGCTACGGCTAATTTAGTTTACTCAATTCACCTATAGTGTATGTCTTAGGACTGTGGGGGAAACCAGAACGCCCGGAGGAAACCCATGTGAACAAGGGGAGAACATGCAAACTCCACACAGAAATCCCAGTCAGGACTCGAACCAGCGACCTTCTTGCTGTGATGCGACAGGGCTAACCACTGAGCCACCGTGCACCACTTTTTTAAGACAAGCAAAAAATTTATTTTTTGGCCTTTATTATATAGGACGGTATTAGATAGGACAGGAAGCGAAGTGGAAGAGAGAGAGAGGGGGGAGGGGGGGGGGGTAGGGTCTGGAAATGTCCTCAAGCCAGGATTTGAACTCGGGACGCCCTGACGTTCTACTGCACCATGTGTCGACACGCTAACCACCAGGCTATAGCGCCAACAAATATAGTCTTTTTTAAGTAATAATACGACAAAGTTGCAACCCAGGCTCAATCTAAAAAAGTAGTCCTGTGGACGTTTCTGGAGGCCACGAAATACGTCCCGGGAGGTACATATTTTTGCAGTTTTTGTTTTTATGAATCTACGAAAGGCCGCTGTGTTTGCTTTTTCATATCTCAAGTGTCTCTTGTGAGTGCCGTTCGTGCCCGCTGTTCTCACGTAAACTCACCAGAGGACGCTGTCGACTGACTGTCTGTCTGACTGACTGATTGAATGACTGACTGGCCGAACGACCAATCGACTGACCCACCCTCCTCCTTCACTAAACCCAACCAATTTTACAGATTGACCCGCCCACTCACCCACTTCCCTAAACCCAACCAACAGGTTACAAAAGAAGTCCAGAAAAAAAGCCCTTTTTACCACGTTTTCAGATTTTATGACATTCGCGATCTCCAGTGATGTATACAGGGCTACGTTTTCAGAATGAGCCTGTTTGCAGTTATATATATATATATATATATATATATATATATATATATATATATATATATATATATATATATATACATACATGTGTGTGTGTGTGTGTGTGTTTACGTGTTTTTGTGACATATCAGGACACAAATCTGTATAATGACAGGTATGACACAGGTATTACAAAAAGCAGGTGAAATATGAGGACACTGGTGACGTCCTCATTTCTCAAAATGCTTATAAATCCCACAGGATGAGTTTAATCAGAGTAAAGCTGGACACTGACTCCTGTGATGGTTGGGTTTAGGGGTGGGGTGTGGGCAATATAATATACGATTTGGGCTGTATAAAATGAATGGAAGTCTATGTAATGTACCCAATTTTCACAAAAACAAACATGTGTGCGTGTGTGTGTGTGTGTTTTTATAATTTTATGATCAATATTATTAGCCCTGTAAAAAAAGTATTGATTCAACTGGCTCCAAAACAAACCACTGTTGTCCTATGACTTGCCTAATTTACTCGAATAAATTAATCAAATTACCATAGTTAACCCTTTAAATCTGCATGTTAAGCTGAATGCTAGCATTTTGCTAATTAAAAATTAACATATTATGTACTGTCATCATGGCAAAGACAAAATAAATTAGTCATTAGAAATTAAGCTAACTCTTTTGTTCAAGTCACAACTCATGCTGTTAACAACTGACCTACTATTGTTATATTAACACTTCTTTGGTCGTTATAAACAATGATTTTATCCTACATCTCTAATCCTCCCCTTAACACAACTTCCATCTTACTATTAATAAGTCGCTAATTAGCCATTTATTAAGCTAATAGTCTTAGTTAATGGTTTGTTAAAAGTGTGAATCGTGACTTGTAACTAATGTGATTGTGAAATGACTTATTAAAAATGTAATGTTTAAATATATATTTGAAGAAATCTCTCTGTTAACTTCCAATGTATTACACATAAATGTTTCCAGCTTCTTGATTAATCCATGCTACAAGTAACGCTAAAAAAATTAGGTCCAACCCAGAAGTAGCATGTTAAAGTGTTCGGTGAAGGTTTAAAGGGCCATGAAACCCCCTCGTTTCAGCAGGGTGTTTTCACACCTCTACTTTGGAAAAGGTCAGAAAAGTGGGCGTGTCCAGCTCTGTTTAGGGGGTAATGTCGGAGGAAGAAAAGTGGGATGGTGTGGAAGTGTCTATTTGGGCACGCGCAAGTTTTAGAGTCAAAATACACACACAAACACACAGGAGAAAGTGATGGTGTTTAACCTACATGGACATCTGTAGTCGAATTATTTGCCAAATTGTTAAATGGTGGACTTTAACTGCAGTTTGGCTCTTTCATTCAGGGAATTCATTCATGCCCCTCACGACAAACGAGATATTTGATTCGAGGAACTGCTGTAAGCGTGTATTTTTCATGCAACGTTTGATACCGCACGGCGAATGAGAGAAAAAAAAACTCAGCATTTCCCACAAACTTAGATGCACACGGCAGGTAGCGTCAGAAAGTCGCGTGTGTTATTCCGGTCACAAAATGCAGTGAAAATCCCTCACGAGGTTAAAGTTTGGTTGTGGTGCTAACATGTTTACACTCGGTGCAATAGTTTGTTTGATACGAACAAACTGAATAAACAAAAAGCACTGGTCGCTCACTTACCAAATCTGTAGAGACAGGACAATCACCAGCAACTAGAGCCGCGTCTTTATTAAGAGAAGACTACAAGCGAATCCGGATCTCAGCGTTTGCAGATTTACAGCTCTCAGGTAAACAATAATCCTCCTTAGACACGTAAGTTATTGTTGTCGAGCGTCGCGTACACTGTTAATCCACACGTGAGTCCAGCTGAGCTCTCACAGAGAGAAAATGAAAACAAAACTTAACTGCAGCAAACTATAAAAGCAACACTTCACGCTTGTTTTGCCAACACAACGTAGCGTCTCTGTCGTGTAAACACGGTGATAGTAATGAATATTAATGAAGTTGCTCAATAGAGCGCGCTGATTGGTTTGAACCAAGCCTTACTCATGCATTAATGCAACACACTGTAAGACGTAATAAGACACACTCTGGCACAGACGTCCAGTCTGCACGCTGGAATACAACGCTATTATGTCATGGCCGTGACGCAGCTTCAAAAATTCGTTTCAAACAGGAAGTACGAATTTGCTTGAAATAACGCAAAAACAACCAATTTACACTTTTTTTGGAAATATATGTGTCCTAATAGTGTTTTTAGCAGTGTGGGACACATATACCACTGTCAACAGCTCAAAACATGTGTTTTGGTGTTTCGTGACCCTTTAAGTGTCTAACCATTAATACTATATTTATTTAGTCCAAGACCTTTACCTCATAGATGTTCACTGCATATTCAGGTTGGTGTGTTTAATGCAGTGAGTGCTGTTTGCCAGTAATTGCATCCACAGACGTGGGGTTGAATTCCAGCATGTAGACCCCTAGGGCTAACCCTGAGGTCTTATTCCTCAGAACTTTCTGCTAAACTCTCTCATCGTGAGCTCTTCTGGAAAAACAAACACACAAAGCTTTAGTGTAGTAGTTTTCAGCAGTTTTGGGAATGACACAGGAAAGAAAGCTAAAAACACCCTAACTTTTTGTTCTGTCATTCTGTGTACAGGAAATATGCACTTGATTTTCTGAAAACTGAACAGATTGTTAGGGTTTTACCTATGGGGACTCGTTTAAAGAATATTTCTGGGTAAAAACCTCATGTACAGGAATAAAGTGGTCATTGTTTCTGGTTAATGAGTTCTTCTATTGGTGTGGGGGAGAGGTGAAAGGTTAAAAAACGGCTTAGAGGATGGAGGTTTCCAGGGCAAGCCTAACAAATGTGCGCTCGCAAATCATGTCTTCATTTGGAGAGATCGCTAATTACTTTAAAAGATGTTTCTTGTGGTTGATCTGAAAATACAATGAGATTGGCATGTTATTGAACACATCCATTAACTGAAAGCAGAAGTCAAATAAAAGTGAACTGTATTCTAAGAACATATGTTTGTCCAATGCTGTCTCACAGCAATGCCTTACGTTTTGATTTAGTGGCTAATCTGTTTGAATTTATAAGATCCCATTTGTACATTTTAGTACAATTTGCTAATCCTGCAATGTGGGGTTGCCTTAAGGGGTTTGTGGGCATGTCTCCTTTTAAAAATCGCATGTTTTCATACACTGTAAAAGCCAACAGTCAACTTTATTAAATGAAATAAGTGTAGTTAACTTAAAATTGACTAAAAGTTAATTCTACTCATTTGAAAAGAGTTTTGAACTCGGTGTTGAAGGTATTGAGTTATTGAAATACCTCATTCAACTTAAATGGAGTAAGTTCACAGTACTCGTATAGATTCGTTTTTAACTCAAATGGTTTGAAGCAATCGGTTTCCTCAAACGGTTTGAGTTGCCTTAACTTACTGAGTTTTACAGTAATTGGTTTGAGTTCTCTTCATTTATTGAGTGTTACTGTGCTTAAATTGCTTTGTTTACTCAAATAAATTAAGTTCACAGTTCTCATTAGGATTAGTTTTTGAACTCAAATGGTTTGTTGCAGTCGGTTTGCTCAAAAG